TGCGCAGTGGGAACCAGGTTCTACCTACGACATTAAGAGCATGAACTGAGTTAATTACCCCAGCAAGGAAGGCGCTGTGGGAATGTGGACAGGTGGCAAGTGGTTTAAATGTGCAAATAAGGCTTCAAGCTTTGGTGCAGTGGGACACATACATTGCCAATGTAATACCCATCCCCTGCCCTGTCCTGGAGGTGTGGGAAGGCAGAGGTAGGACAGTGTGGGAGAGAGAGGGCAGCCATCCTCAGAAGAGCAGAAGGGGGAAGCTGTGTTCTGGGGCGTAACTACTTCTCAGCCGCAACAGGAAGTGGAGGGAGGGCTTCCAGGCGGAGGGGAGTTTATTGATAACAGAACTCTGGTTGGAACACCCAGGAGGGATTTCTTCAGAGGGCAAAATGTGGGCTTGAGTGCGGGGGGGGGGGTGAGATTTGGAATAAGAATGTGGATTATTAGAAGGGTCAAGAAGCAGAGAGCTTGGAGACTCAGAAGAGTGAGTCACTGCGGCGCTAACAGGAACTGTGAGGTGGATGTAGTCATATTCAGGTTTCTGCGGCTTGCAACGATAAACACTATTTTCCACCCAGCCAGAAAGTATAGTTTCTGTTCAAGGTACCAAATAAAATACGGAGAAAAGTCATTAGGAAGTATGGGGTTACAAAAGTCAGGTTCACATCAGGCTATTTGAAACATTAGCACTTCTTTTTCTTGAAGATACATTTTACTTATTTGAAAGGAAGAGTTAGAGAAAGAGAGATCTTCCATTCACTGGTTCACTCTGCAAGTGGACATAACAGTTGAGGCTGGGCCAGGTTGGAGCCGGGAGGCAGGGACTCCATCCATGTCTTCCACGTGAATGGCAGAGGTTTGACTTACATTTTGCTGCTTTTCCAGGCACATTAGAAGGGAGCCAGACCAGAAAGGAAGCAGCCAGAAAGGAGTGCGAAGCATTACAAATGGCAGCTTAACTCTCTCTGCCACACAACACCAACCCTTGAAACATAAACGGTTCTTAAACTGTGGGAGGAAGTCAGTGCTGGATGGAAAAGCAGGGAAGTAGCTACCAGGTTTAACTCAAAGTTGAGCTTTTGGGATGAGCACTTGCCTGGATACACGGTTAGGACACCCGCATGCCATATCAGACTGCTTGAGTTCTAGTTCCAACTTGGTTCTCAACTCCAGCTTCCTGCTAACGGGCACCCTGGATAGCACCAGATGATGCTTCAACTACTTGTCTCCCTGCCAGCCAGCTGGAAGACCTGGATTGAGTCCCTGATCATGGATTCAGCCTGGTCATCCCTGGTTTGTGCAGGCATTTAAAAAGTAAGCCAGAGAAGAAATGACTTAACAAATGAGTAAATCGGTGAATCCATAGATGGACAGTAAGATATTTTTAGGAGGCACTATAGCAAACTCTTGGAAAATTATAAAGTCTTGCAGTCATTCCTGACTCAGTCCTGCCTCCAGCACTTGTGTTTCCTCTGTTATAAAATGAGGATAATAACAGTATGTACCTGAAATAACTGCTTTAAGGATATTCAGTATTGCATGCATAGGGCTCCACCTCATGTTGGCCACTATTATTTGGAGACGAACAGAGAATAGGCAATAGTGATTACAAATTTTCAGGTCTATGTTGGGAAAATGAAAATGAACCTGATCAAAATGCAATGTGGAAATGGAAAAGATGATGTTCATCTTCAGATCTTTGTAAAACAAAATACAGATATGGTTAGAGAGTGAAGATAATTCAGTTATGTTTTTGCAAGTAGTTATTTTACTTAAAAAAAAAAAAAAGTAAGCCAGGGGCCCAGAGCAGTAGCCTAGTGGCTAAGGTCCTTGCCTTGCACGTGCCAGGATCCCATATGGGCACTGTTTCTAATCCTGGTGGCCTTGCTTCCAATCCTCCTCCCTACTTGTGGCCTGGGAAGGCAATCGAGGACCGCCCAAAGCCTTGGGACCTTGCACCTGTGTGGGAGACCCAGAACAAGTTCCTGACTCCTGGCTTCGAATCAGTGCAGTTCCAGCTGTTGCAGCCAGCTGGGGAGTGAATCAACGAACAGAAGATCTTCCTCTCTGTCTCTCCTCCTCTTTGTTTCTCTGACCTTCCATCAAAAATAAATAAATCTTAAGTAAAATGTAAGCCAGTGGCTGGGAGCTTCCTATCTCTCTACCTTCTGAATAAGTTGATCTTTCTGACTCTGCTAGTTTACTCTCCGAGTGGCCGAACAGCTGGCGGTGAGCTGATATGAAGCCAGGAGCCTCCTCTACATGACCCAAGGACTTACATCATCCTCCGCAGCCTTCCGGAGCCACAAGCAGTGAGCTGGGTGGGAAGGGGAGCAGCTGGGGCATGAGTTAACACCCATTTGGGATCCTGGCACTTGAAGGAGGTCACCCAGTTCAGCCACTGCACTGCTCACCACCCCCATGCTTTCTGTCTCCTACCATCGTTTCCAGGTACTGTCTCATTTAACAGAGGGGTAGCATGATGCTACGGAATGCATAATTTGTTATCAGCAGAAAAGATTGGAATTATTAGATTGAAAGTTCTAGTTCAACAGCCAGGGCTGGAATCTTCCAGGATCTAAATGCAGGCTTTAGCACACCAACTTCTCTGTGCTTCATAACAGCATCATGTCTGCCACATTGAGCCTGCTCTAAATAGCTTTCCCGTGGCTCAGTTTGCCCATCTGTACAAATACTTTAATTTGTTATCAGCAGAAAAGATTGGAATTATTAGATTGAAAGTTTTAGTTCAGTTTGCCCATCTGTACAAATACTTTCTATACCTGAATAATATTTGCTTTATTTATTTATTATTAGGTCTTTGCAAAAATTAAATGAAAACCTGAATACAGTGTCTGGCCATATGTACCCCAAATATTCTTTATAATAGCATACAAAATGCTTTAGCCATGGCAGGTGCTTAAATGAGCTTACCAAAATTTAGGTGTTGGGGGCCAGTGCTATGGCTAAGTGGCTAAATCCTCGCCTTGTGCATGCCAGGATCCCATAAGAGTGATGGTTTGTATCCTGGCTGCTCTACTTCCCATCCAGCTCCCTGCTTGTGGTCTGGGAAAGCAGTAGAGGATGGCCAAAGCTTTGGGATCCTGCATCCACATGGGATATCTGGAAGAAGCTTCTAGCTCCTGGTTCCTTGCTCCTGGCTTCAGATTGGCTCAGGTCCAGTCATTGCAGCTACATGGGGGGAATGAAGCAGTGGTTGGAAGATCTTTCTCCCTGTGTCTCCTTCTCTCTGTAAATCTGCCTTTCCAACAAAACACATCTTTAGAAAAATTTGGGAGGGGCCAGCGCGATAGTGTAGCGGTTAAAGTCCTCGCCTTGAATGCACCAGAATCCCATATGGGCACTGGTTCTAATCCCAGCAGCAGCCCCACTTCCCATTTAGCTCCGTTCCTATGACCTGGGAAAGCAGTCGAGGGTGGCCCAAATCTTTAGGACCCTGCACCCACGTGGGAGACCTGGAAGAGCTCCTGGTTCCTGGCTTCAGATTGGCTCAGCTTCAGCCATTGCAGCCACTTGGGGAGTGAACCATCAGATGGAAGATCTTCCTCTCTGTCTCTCCTCTCTGTATATCTGCCTTTCCAATACAAATAATAAATAAATCGTTAAAAAAATTTTTTTAAAGAAACTTAGGTGTTTTGATGATGACTTTGTTTGGAGACAGGTTCTTTGAAGGGGTTATAAGATGCTACAAAGAAATCCTCAGGGTGGACCCAAAACCTGATATGATTGAAATGCTAGTAAAAATGGAGACTTTGAGCCCAACACTTTGGTGCAGTGAGTTAAGCTGCTGTGTGTGGCACCAGCATCCCATACGGAAACAGGGTTGCTCCGTTTCCTATTCCTGTTAATTCCCAGGATCCTGGAAATGCAGCAAAGGTTTGCCCAAGTCCTTGGGCATATGCACTCACATGGGAGACTTGAAAGTAGCTCTCTTGGCCATTTGGAGAGTGAGCCAATGGATGGAAGAGTCTCTGTGGTTCTGCCCTTTTATTGAAAGGTAAGTTTACAAAGAGAAAGAGAGACGGAGAGAAAGATCTTGCATCCACTGATTCACTCCCCAAGTGGCCGCAACGGCTGGAGCTGAGCTGATCTGAAAGCCAGAAGCTTCTTCCAGGTTTCCCACACAGGTGGAGGGTCTCAAGGGTTTGGGCCGTCCTCTATTGCTTTCCCAAGCTGCAAGCAGCGAGCTGGATAGGAAATGGGCTTCCTGGACACGAACCTGCACCCACATAAGATCCCAGCGCATGTCAGGTCAGGATTTCTCCACTAGGCCATTGTGCCCAGCCCAATAAATAAATCTGCTCCCCACCCCCACCACCTTTTTTTTTTTTTTTAATTTCCACGTGGACAACAGAGAGGGATGACCATTGGGAGACACAGGGTCTCCCCTGTGTCTAGGCCAAGGAGAGGAAGATGCCTGTGATACTTGGTTCTGGCAGCCTCACTCTCCTGTCTGGACAGTGTTTCTTGGCCTGTGGCCTGTGTGTGTGTCCCCCACTGACAGCTTTTGGGAGGCTAAGCCTGCTAGGCTGACCGTGGGCCCGGGAGTCGAGTCGGCAGCTTGTTCCCTTGGCTCTTGCCTGCTAAGGTTGGGCATCCAAGAAGGCAAGACCATTCTACTTTAAAAAGGATTTGTTAGGGCAACTGGGTGCGCGGGGATGGGTGAAGGAAAACAATAGCTGTGATGGAGGTGAACTGAGTGCTCTCAGCCTTGGGGTGAGACAAAACCACCTGGGGACAGATGGAAGGGGTGACTCGCATGGGCCAATCAGCAGGACTGGTATATAGATCTCCAGCCGCTCACGAAGAGCCTGGACGCCCTCAAGCAAGCAGGCGTACCTCCCCAACCTCCCGCCGCCTCTCCCATACACCCCTGCACCTGTCCAGAGGTGCCAGCCCTGGCCAGGGAGGGCAGAACGGGCCGGCGCGCGCGTGCCCGGCACGTCCTGCGGGCGCTGCCCCTCCGGGCGCGCACCCGTCTCCGTCCCCGGCCCACCGCTGCCGCAGTCCGTCCCGGCCCCCGGCAGAGCTCGGCCGACCTCGCGCCAGGACCGCGCACGCCCCTCCGCCCGCCGGGACCTGGGGTAGCGCGCGTCCCGCGCCCGGTCCCCGCCCGGACCGGCGCGCGCGGGCTCGGCCTTTCGCCGTCAGCGGCGGTTGGTGGCGGGGATTGTTTTTGTTGTCGCTGAGGCCGGAAGAGCCGCGGGAGCTGGGTGCGTGTCCCCGGGCCTGCCGCCGCCGCCGCCCCTTGCCCGGCCCCCGCGTCTCCGCGGCCATCCCCCAGCGCCAATATTCCGGAGATCAAGCGTTACGCGGCGGCGGCAGCCGGACCGGGAGTCGGAGGTGCTGGGGAGCGGGACGAGGCGGCCGCCGCCATGGAGGCGCTGGGACCCGGTGAGGCGCGCGGCGGACCGGGGCGCGGTGCTGGCGGGGACTGGACTACTGCTACCGGTTCGTCCTCCGGCGGGCGCTCCGGAGCACCGGGTTGCTGGAAGGGGCCCGGTGCCCAGCGGCACCCGGAGCTGGGCGGAGGGAATGACACCGGGCCACTGTGTGCAGGGAGCGCGCGGCTGCCGGGGGGCTGGCAGGAGGTCCTGGAAGGTGCCACCTGACCCCACCTTGGTCCCAGGGTCTCGACGAGGCGGTGGGCCTCACGGGGAACATCCGTGCCCGGTGCACTGAGGCTGGACAGATCCCCACCCGCTCCCTCGAGTAGGGGGGTTCCAGGCCACACCCCTGTTTCTCTGCTCCCCGGCAGCCGGTGCGGAGCCCTGCTCCGGTCGGAGAACTTCCCTCAGACACCTCTCTGGAGCCCTGAAGGCCGAGGAGTGTACAGAAAGTCCTTCTGGAAAACCCTGAAGTGTCAGGGCCCCAGCTGTCAGTCAGTGGTCGGTCAATCAGTGTGTCCGCTGCGAGGGTTCGAGGCTAGCTCCCGGAGTGGCAGGGAAGTCGCCGCCAGCCGGCTCCCGCGCGGGCTTGAGGGTCCCCACGACCCCTCTGCTGGGGTGGTGTAGGCAGGGAGGCAGGGCTTGGCACGCACTTTCCCGCGGGTTGTGCCCGGTCTCTGGGGACCTGCCGCACTCTGCCCAAACCGGAAGGGACCCTTCAGGTTTCCCTCTGGGCTGGATCTCCCACCTCGACCTCAAAGGGACTCTGGTGTTATGGCTAAGAAGAGAAGGACCTGGGGACCGCAGTGGAATTCACTTTACTTTTCAAACTTGGCCTACAGAGTCGGCTGGGTGTGGAGAATTTCAGTGGGTTTTTTTTTTAGCGCATGGAAAAATCAATGTGCCATTTGTGTTCAGAAACTTTGGGGATTTGTTTGCTTAGGACTTGTTTGCATGACTGAGCACCCACCGCTTCCCCCAACCTGGATTTGCTGTTTTAATTGGTTTTGAAAGGACCTTTTCAAATTTCATAAGCCTTTTCAAAAATAAATCGATTTGTCACAGGAATGTTTCTTAACGTTACTTGACGTCACTTCAGATATGTTCCCTAGCTGAGGATGCGATCAAGATTTTAGGAATATAACAAATTTCTGTTCGAACGCAATCTGGTAACTTAATAGTTGTAGGACCGTAGACAAATTATTTAGTTTCTTTGAACCTTCACTTCCTCATTTATAAACCGAGGTGGTTGTTGTGAGAGTGAAATGAGATCATGTGTGTGAGAAATCTTATAGGATGCTCACAGATGCTCCGTAACTGTTTCTGCTCCCTCCCACACGTCATGGAAGCAGCTTGCATTTGTGAGCTGATGTGGAAGGAGACGATGTAACGGCTGGCACAGGCTGGATTCCAGGGAAAGGACTTAACTGCCTTTGTACTTGTTTTTGGTTTGATTTTAGTTTTTGTAGGGTTGAGGATTTCTCTGTGTCCCCAGAATTGTTCAAGTTGTAAAAAAAAAAAAAGTTCTAACTAGCTACAGTTATAAGGCTAATGAATAAGCCAAAGTGTTGCCTAGACCTTTTTTCTTGATCCTGCCATATAGCAAACTCCTGGTTTGGTTTTGTAGACTCTTGGAAGCCCAATGAATATCAAGAAACTGCCAAGCAGTCAAATCGAAGGGAGTTGATGGCCTTGGATATTTACTTAAAAGAGGGAGAGAGAGAGAGAGATCTGTATCTCCATATGAAATTTGAAAACATTTTATTTATTTGAGGGGAGGAGGAGAGGAGCTATCTTTCCTCTGCCGATTCACTCCCTAAATGTCTGTGACAGCTGGAGCCAGGCCAGGCTCAGATCAGAAGCCTGAAACTCAATAACGATCCCCCGTGTGAGTGGTAGGGCCCAGGTGCTTCCCAGGATGAGCCTTAGCAGGGAGCGGAATCAGCAGAGCTGGGACTCAAATGGGATGCAAGCATTCCAAGCAGCAACTTACCCACCATGCCAAACTGATGCTCAGTCTTTGATGTAGCATCCAAGCTATTTCAGAACCTACAAGAGCAACTCTGTGGGTTAAAGCCCTCCCCTGGCTCTGGTGCTCTGACCTCACTGGGACAACCACAGGCGCTTTCTTAGTCTCCTCTGCACTCCCACCCCAGCCCACCACCACACACACACCCCTGTTTCAGTTTCTGACCAGAACACGAAAATAGAATTACTAGATTACCAGTTGATTTTTGTTACATTGATTGTAACTTTTAATTTTGCAGTGCTTTGTAGTTTGAAAAATGCTGTCATAACTAGAAAGTGAGGCAGGTATTTATCTCCATCTTACGGAAGAGTGAAATGCCACCAGCAGAAAATGGGGAAAACATTGTGGCACAGTGGGTTAAGCCAACACATGGGTTGCCCACATCCCATATCAGAGCCTGGGCTACTGTGCTTTCTGATGCAGCTTCTTGCTAACGCACACCCTGGAGCTAGCAGGTGATGGCTTAAGCCCCTGCTGCCCATGGAGGAGACCTGGATGTGGTTACAGCTTCCTGCTTCAGCCGGGCCCAGCCCTGGCTGTTGTGGCCATTTGGGGAGTAAACTATGGAGAGAAATCTCTCTTTCTTTCTCTACCTTTCAAATAAATAAAATAAATGGTAAATTATTTTTAAATGAATAAATGTTGAGTAACAACATTTTCTGAGTGGAAAATTTCATTGTCCCAGATCTAAAAAATATCAGATTATAAATAAGAGATATAACACTACTAGTATTGTTTCACCACAAAAATCAGTAAATAAATGGGTAAAAGTTATAACTACTATTTCATTTTCTTCTATACAACAGATGATAATGCAAGCTGATTCATGGAGAATTGATGGATCACCCTCCAACTTGAGGGATGATGGGTTCACAAGTTTGGAGATGGTTTTATTTTTAGAGCATATGGCCTTTGTAATACTAGCTGTAAAGCTACTAATGCTCATGGAAAGCTTTATATATGCAAGGAATTCATGATACCCTCAGCTTCGATGTTTCTATCTTTAAAATAATAGTAGGCTGGCAAAATATTTAGAAATCTAAAAGTTAATAAACATTTCAAACTTTTAACTTTATGAATTGATTTACTTTATTTGAGAGACAGAATGAACTCATCTTACTGGTTTATTGCCTAAATGTCTTCCATAGCCAAGCCAGGGACAGACTGAAGCACAGAATAAAGAACTCTGTTCAGGACTTCCCATGTGGTTAGAAGGTTCCAGCCACTTGAGCCTTTACCTGCTGCCTTCCAGGGACTGCATTCACAGGAAACCAGGAATCAATAGGGAGCCAGGATTAAATCCCAGATACTCCTGTGTGGAGTTTGGCTGTCTCAACCTGACATCTTAACCCCAAGGTCCACTCTCGACCTCACATCAGGACAAGCTCAGTGAATGAGGTCCAAATAACTGCAGCTCTCATTGTTGTCATCATTATGTAGATTAGGCTTCACGCAGCAAATGTCTTTTCATCTTGCAGGACCTCCTAACAGCCTATTTCAGCCACCTCGTCGTCCTGGCCTTGGCACAGTTGGAAAACCCATCCGACTGTTAGCCAATCACTTTCAGGTTCAGATTCCTAAGATAGATGTGTATCACTATGATGTGGATATTAAGCCAGAAAAGCGGCCTCGTAGAGTCAACAGGTAAGAATTATCAACAGTAGACTTCTGTATGTTTTTGCACATAGGATTTATGTCATGTTGTTTTCTCTAGATAATTTCAACACATGGGCTTGGTTTTTTTTTTTACCTAAGATTTTAAGTGCCTGAGGAGTAAGTTTATTGCCACCACATGGTTATCCTCCTTGGTGATGCTGGTGACAGTTTATCATTGATCAGCTAGCAAATGCATGTCCAAGGAAAATGAAAGGTCACTTTCAAGAACCAAAGATGGCAGAAATGAGTGAGAATAAGTGACGGTGTTAGTATCTCTGGGACGTAGAATTTTCTGAAAATTTGAATTTTATTAAATGCTGGTATGAATGTGAAAAGTGTTTGTGAAGACAGAGAAGCATCTTGGAATATTTGATAAGTTTTCTCAGATTGAAATTCTGTTTATTTCTAGCATTATCTAAGAGGGATCCTGATGTCAGAGAAGCTGTAAGTTTTGTGGGCTGTATAGTGGGAATTTACCAGGTGTGAAGATACTTTCCTGTAGTTAATAGTCTAGCAGTGTGCACCCACTTCTATCTTCTTCCTTCCCATGCTGTGATGTCCCAGCAGTTTTGACCTTAAGATTCTTGTTCTTGCCAACAAACGAAATGTTGTACGCTATTCTAAGTTTTCTCTCTGCAGTGCAACAATTGGCTTTCTGGTCGAATTCAACATCATATCATGTGTCTGAGGTCAATAATAATAGAGGTGATGCTATTAGTCAACGTGGATCCATTCAGCAAGTTCTACATGAAGCATTTATTATGTGCCAAGTATTGTTCTGTGTTCTGGGAATACAACATACAAAAAACAGGCAAAAGTTCCTGCCTTCAGGGACTTGTAGGCTAATGAGGAAGATGGAAGGTAGATGAATACTGAAGCAAATGCAGTTTATTATTTGCTAGTTGGTGTCAGCTGTAATGAAAAATAGAGCAAGGGTGGAAGATGAGGATAGAGCTGAGCCATATAGCATGTACATTATATATGCATTTTTCTTTCTGAAGATGAGGTTGGATAACCTCCAGAACCCCTGCTATTGTGCAGAGCCTCCCCATCAGTTGTAGACATTTTTTTTTTTTAGCATTTACTGTGGTTATATGGATTTCACATACTTGTGTGATATAACTCACTTAGATTTTTAGTGGATTGTTTTGCCCCTAGGGACTGGTGTTGTAGTATAGCAGATTAAGATGGCAGCATCCTAAAAGGGTACCAGTTCATGCCCCAATTGCTCCACTTATGATTCAACTCCCTGGTAATGTGCCTGGAAAAGCAGTGAAAGATGGCTCAAGAGCTTGAGCTTCCAGTGGGAGACCTGGATGAAGCTCCTGGCTCCTGGTTTCAGCTTGGCTCAACCCTAGCTGTTGTGGCCATTTAGGGAGTAAACCAGGAGACAGAGGTTTCTCTCTCTTTCTCTCTCTCTCCCCCTCTTCCTCTCTCTACCCCTCTCCCCACCACCTCTCTGTAATTTTATTTAAAAAAATAAAATCTTAGAAAGAAAGAAAATAATAGCTAAATGTAAAAATCAGCATAATACATTATGAGGCACTTGTAATGATTCAGGTGAGAGGTGATGGTTGCTTAGACCTGGGCAGTCTAATTGATAGTAATGAGAAGTGATCAGCCCCTACAAATATTTTGAAGGTAGCATCACTAAGATTTGCTGGTAGATTAAGCGTGGGGTGTGAATAAAAGAAATGAGTCACAGGTAATTCCTGGTTTATTTATTTTTTTTAACTGAGCAAATGGAAAAAAGGAGTTAGCACTTATCTATGGGGAGCACAACAAGAGAAGCCAACAGGGATGACACATTAGGACACCCAAGCATCTTCAGCATGTTATGGTTACAATGTTTATTAGTCACACTTGTAGAGAAACTAAGCAGGAAGTTGAATATATGAGGTGGTATCAGATGAGGGGTTTGTGTGTGTGTGTCATCAGAAGAAGCAGGCTTATGACTGTCACAAACACTGTGCTGCATACTCCCTGTGTATTTGATCGCTACATAGAACCAATTTTGTTGTAAATAGATTTAAATATATTTTTATTTATTTAAAGGATAGAGAGAAATCCTTCATCTGCCAGCCACTTCACATGCTTCAAATGCCAGCCAAAGCCAAGAAGTAGGAGCTCAGTCCAGGTCTCCGATGTGGGTGGCAGTGCCCGAGGCACTCCAGGATCACTCACTGCCTCTTAGGAGGCTCCTAGAAAAGAATTGGCAGTCAAACTCAGACTTTTTTTTAAGATTTTAATTTCTTTTTATTTTTTTAAAGATTTTTATTGGAAAGTCATATATACAGAGAGGAAGAGAGACAAAAAGGAAGATCTTCCGTCCATTAATTTACTCCCCCAAGCAGCTGCAACGGCCGAAGCTGTGCCGATCTAAAGCTAGGAGTCCGAAGCTTCTTCCAGGTCTCCCACGTGCATGCAGGGCCCCAAGGCTCTGGGCCGTCCTTGACTGCCTTCCCAGGCCACAAGCAGGGAACTGGATGGGAAGTGGGGCCATCAGGATTAGAACCGGTGCCCATAAGGGATCCCGGCATGTGCAAGGCGAGAACTTTAGCCACTAGGCTACGGTGCTAGGCCCAAACTCAGGAATTTTGATATGGAATGTGGACACTCCGAAGAACATCTTTACCCTTGTGCCAAACACCAGCTCCAATGTCATAAGTTTTTGCAAGTGGAGAAACAAACATGGGAAAGATTAAGAAACTCTACCTAAGGCCATCCAGTTGTGCTGCTTCATCATTGGATGACCAAGGGATGGATTCCTGGCTTATCCTACAAAGTTATTGTGAAAATTAAATGAGAATGAAAGTGAAAATAGCTCCTTACTGTAAAACTCTTTATGGTCATAATTTTTTTTAGCATTTTTTTTTAGCATTAACATGTACAGGCTTAAATTAGCTTTTTTTTTTTTCCAGCCACATATTTGGTATGTAACTGTGGCTTTTCCACAGATTTTATTTATAGTAATAGTAATGCATTAACTAATGGTGTATTTTGGCCCTTAAGGTCGAGTCCCCAGATGGAACTCACTGATCTTGATAAGACAAATCACCTAACTTCATTGACTGTTGCATTTAAAAATTTCAGAGACTCATATGGTCCATGGCTTAAACTGAATACGCTAGGGTCCTTGAGGCTGCACTTATCTTAGGACCTGCATACAGTATGAGTATTATGTGGCATAAATGCAAGAACACTTAAGTAAAGCTCTACATAACTGAGAGAAAGACTTTCATCTTTCAAATAAACTGGGACAACATTGTGGTGTAATGGGTTAATCCCCTGCCCGTTACACAGGCATCCACTAATTCACTTCCTAAATGCCTTGAATAGCCAGAACTGAGTCAGTTCAAGACCAGAAGCCGAGAACTTCCTCGAGGTCTTCCACATGATTGGCAAGGGCCTAACCTTTTGAGTCATCATCTGTTGTTTTCCTGGGCTTGTTATCACAGAACAGAATTGGAAGTGAAGCATCTAGAAGTTGAACAAGCATTCTGGAAAGCTGGCATTGCACGTGGCAACTTAACATGCTGCTCACAGTATCCATCCCTGTTGCTGCTGAATGGAGGGAAGGAAAGAAGGAAGGAAGGAAGCAAGGAAGGAAGGAAGGAAGCAAGGAAGGAAGGAAGGAAGGAAGGAAGGAAGGAAAGAAGGAAGTGTGAGCTCATTTGTACCTCAAATACCTGCAGTGATCAGGTCTGGATTGAATGGAAGCCAGGAGCTGGGAACGTGTCTCCTATATGGGTGGCAGGAACTCAGGCTCACCGTCACTGCTGCCTCCCAGGTCTGCATTAGTAGGAAGCTGGAGCTGAGAGTCTGGCATTGTACCTAGATAGTCAGATGTGGGATGCAGGAGTTTTAACAGGCATCTTCACTACTAGCCAAAATGTTTGCCCTGAGTTAACCATTTTTAAAATTAATAGAATCAACTGTGAAGTTTTTCTTCCTTCCAAGTATTGCTGAACTGAATTTAGGTGATTAAGACAATGGTGATTCTTTACTACTCAGACATGTCTCAAAGCTGACTGCCACTGTTTCTATTGCTGTTAAGGGAGGTAGTAGACACAGTGGTGCGGCACTTCAAGATGCAGATATTTGGTGATCGGCAGCCTGGTTATGATGGCAAAAGGAACATGTACACAGCACACCCCCTGCCAATTGGACGGGATAGGGTAAGTGTGAACTCTTAGGTCGTTTATAATTCCTGACCGCAAAAATGTTTCCCCTTCTAGTTATACTTCAGTTCTTAGAGTTTTTTTTTATATATATAAAAGATTTTTAAAAATTTATTTGAAAGGCAGAGCTATAGAGAAACAGAGAGAGAAAGAATGAGAGAGAGTGAGTATATCTTCTATTCACTGGCTCACTTCCCAAATAGCCAGAATGGCCTGGACTGGTTCATACTAAAACCTGGAGCCAGGAGCCAGGAGTTTCTTCTGGGTCTCCTGTGTGGGTACAGAGGACCAAAGACTTGTGCCATCCTCTGCTGCTTTTCTAGGTGCAATAGCAAGGAGCTGGATCAGAACGGGAGTAGCTGGGATTCAAACCAGCACTCATGTGGGATTCTAGCATCACAGAGGTTTAGCTGGCTACACCATAATGCCAGTCCTAGGATTGTTTCCAGGGTGACGGTAGACTCGTACAGGACATGCTCTTTTGTCTCTTGGTTGATTGATACCTGAAGATGAGTATAGGAATGTAGATCCTATCATCTTTACATACATTCCAAACTATTCATATAGTTAGTATCCTTTAATAAGGTATTACCTGAATTGGAACAATGGAGTTTTTATAATTATAGAAAATTATTATATAATGTCCACTGTAAAATTAATTCATAATAGAACAATATCTTAAGTTTTATTTTAAAAATTAGAAAAATAGCATGTGGATAAATGCTCATTATCAACTTCATTCAGATGATTTAGAAATGTTGTTCTTTCTTGCTTTCTTGCTTTTTTACCCTTCAACTCCATTTTCCTTTCCAGAAGAAGCTGCTGTATTAATCTGACATGTGTGATTTTAGATACAAGTGTTAGGGCCCGGTGTGATGGCTCCATGGCTAACTCCTCACCTTGCAAGTGCTGGGATCCAAAATGGCTGCTAGTTTGTGTCCTGTCTGCTCCGTTTCCCATCCAGCTTCCTGCTTGTGACCCAGGAAGACAGTGGAGGATGGCCCAAACCTTGGGACCCTGCACTGTCGTGAGAGACCTAGAAGAAGCTCCTGGCTCCTGGCTTCAGATCAGCTCAGTTCTGGCCATTGCAGCTATTTGGGGAGAGATCCAGCAGACAGAGGATTTTTCTCTCTGTCTCTCCTTCTCTGTAAATCTGATCTGCCTTTCCAGTAAAAATAAATAAGTCTTTTAAAAAATCAGTAACACTGGGAAATCATTACAATTTAAAGTAAGTACAACATATTTTCTTAAACCAGAAAAAGAGAATTTCTTATTCACTTGGTAACAAATTTATAAGAAAAAAATAGACACAGGTATTAGCTTTTTACTCATATGCCTACATATTTTTGCATGCCATTCTATATTTTTTCATTAAATAATAGGGAGAGCTGTTCATTAAAAAAAAATTTGAAATACTTATTTGAAAGTCAGAGTGACAGAGAGAGGTCTTCTATTTTCTGGTTTACTCCCTAAATGGCTGCAAAAGCCAGACCTGGGCCAGGCTGAAACTGGAAGCCACAAACTTCATCCTGGTCTCTCACATGGGTGGCAGAGGCCCAAACACTTGAACTGTTTTCTACTGCCTGGCCAGCAGGAAGCTGGATTGAAAGTTAAGCAGCTAGGAGTCAAATTAGAATATTCTCTGTATATATATTTAAAAGATTTTTTTTTTGAAAAGCAAATTTATAGAGTGAAGGAGATACAGAGAAAAAGATTTTCCATATACATAGTTCACCCCGCAAGTGGCCGCAACAGCTGGAACTGATCTGATCCAAAGCCAGGAGCCAGAAGCCTCTTCCAGGTCTCCCACATGGGTGCAGAGTCCCAAGGCTTTGGGCCATCCTCCATTGCTTTCCAGGCCCAAGAAGGAAACTGGATGGGAAGTAGAGCAGCTGGGACAAGAACTAGTGCCTGTTTGGGATCCCAGCACTTGCGAAGTGAGGATTTAGCCACTGAGCAATGAAGCCAGGCCCTCAAATTGCCATATTCTCATATGGGATGCCAGCATTGCAAGTGGTGGCTTAATCCACTGTGTCATAATGCTGGTACCTATCTGTTTATTTTCAGTACATACATCTGATTTATTACGGTGGTAAAATATAGTTATAAAATGTACTCATCTGAACATTCTAAGTATATCATTTAGTGACATCAGGAATTTTCATATTGTTGTGCAGTAAGCACCACTCTCCATTCTCAGAACTCTTCCATCATCCCATTCAGAGACTCTGTACTGATGAAAAGTGATTCCCTGCTCTCTACTGCCCCTAGTCCCTAGCCCCGTCTTCCTCAACCTATTGTAGTTTCACCACGTAGGGAGAATAACAATATTTTTTTCTTTTTAAAGATTTATTTATTTATTTTTAAAGATTTACAGAGAGAGAGATAAAGAGAGAAAGAGATATTGAGATCTTCACTGGTTCATTCCCCAGTTGTTTGCAATAGCCAGTGTTGGCTCAGGCTGAAACCAGGAGTCAGGGGTTTCATGCAGGTGGCAGGGTTCTGAACACTTGGACCATTTTCTGCTGCTTTTCCCAGGCCATTTATAGGGAGCTAAATCAGCAGTGAAACAGGTGGGACACAAATTGGTGCCCATATGGGATGCCAGCATCTCAGGTGGCAGTTTTACCTACTATGCCATAGTGCTGGCCCCAAATTTGTCCTTCTGGCTTTTTCGCTTAGCACAGTGTTTTTCCAGCATCTGGCTTATTATGAAAGCTATTATTATATATTATTATATTAATAATATTGTGTTATTATAATTAATATTAGCTACTATAATTAATAGATTATTGTTATTATGTTCAATAGTAAATTATGCCTGTGTTGGTGGATGCTTCTGTTCAGTGTTTTACAATAAAAGTAAAGATCCTATGTGTATAGCATGTGGACTGTTCTTAAGAACTCTGATGGCCTTTATTAGCATACGTGCTTGTGTGTGTTTTTTCTTAGGTGGACATGGAGGTGACCCTTCCGGGTGAGGGTAAAGACCAAACCTTTAAAGTGTCTGTTCAGTGGGTGTCCGTTGTGAGCCTCCAGTTGCTTCTAGAAGCTTTGGCTGGGCACTTGAATGAAGTCCCGGATGACTCAGTTCAAGCACTTGACGTGATCACAAGACACCTTCCCTCCATGAGGTCAGTATCTTGCTTTAAATTCTTTCCCACAAACACCACACAGTTTTGGTTAGATTTGTATTGGAGTCATTGAAGGTTTCTAAATAATCACTCAAACTTGGTTTCAGTTCACAAGTGTGAAATGAGAAAACCTTAGGAGTTTTTGTGGTGAAATGTAACAAGTGTTAACTTCTTCAGGTACACTCCCGTGGGGCGGTCCTTTTTCTCACCTCCTGAAGGTTACTACCACCCTCTGGGAGGGGGCAGAGAGGTTTGGTTTGGCTTCCATCAGTCTGTGAGACCTGCTATGTGGAATATGATGCTCAATATTGATGGTAGGATGAACTTCTTTCTTCATTAACTCCTTTGACTGGGTTGGTTGGTTGGTTGGTTGGTTTGCTTAGGCGCTTCTCTTCTCCCTGAAGCTAAGTGTCATTCCTCTCTGTTTGTTAGTATCTGCAACTGCTTTCTACCGGGCTCAGCCCATCATTGAATTCATGTGTGAAGTTTTAGACATTCAGAACATCAATGAACAGACCAAACCTTTAACTGACTCCCAGCGTGTGAAGTTTACCAAAGAAATCAGAGGTAAGTATTTGCATTGATGTAGTCTTGGAGAGGCAGCTCAGCATGACTAAATAGCCTGGGCTTTGGAATCAGACAAACGTGGGTAGTTCTATCAGTGGGACCATAAGTAAGTCCTTTGTGACCCTTAATTTATTCATCTCAAAGATGAAGATAATAATATATATTATGTAGATTTATAGTGAAAATTAATTGCCATTACGCTTATAAATTTTTCTGATACAGTACCCATCATGTATCAGGCACTCCATAAATGTTACCCTTACCTACTTTTAAACTTCTTTTCTAATGAAAAAAATACAGGGTGAGTATTTAAGGCAGTGTTTAAGACACTGCACAGGACACCTGCATTCCACATCCAAGTGCCTGGTTTGAGTCCTGGCTTTCCTAATAGAGCGTTCTTTTTTTATCTATTTATTTATTTTCATTGGAAAGGCAGATATACAGAGAGGAGAGACAGAGAGGAAGATCTTCCGTCCGATGATTCACTCCCCAAGTGAGCGCAACGGGCCGATACTATGCCGATCCGAAGCCAGGAGCCTCTTCTGGGTCTCCCACGCGGGTGCATGGTCCCAAGGCTTTGGGCTGTTCTCGACTGCTTTCCCAGGCCACAGGCAGGGAGCTGGAAGGGAAGTGGGGTTGCCGGGATTAGAACCGGTGCCCATATGGGATCTCGGGCGTGCAAGGCGAGGACCTTTAACCACTTGCGCCACCGCGCATGTGTACCCTGGGAAGCAGCAGATGGTGGCTCAGAGCACTGATACACATACAGAATACTGGAAAGAAGTTGGCCCCTGGCTCTAGCCTGGCCCCATCCAGTCCTGGTTTTTGGGAAATGAATCAGGAGATAGAAAATCTAAGTCTGTGGTTCTGCCTCTAAAGTAAAATGAAAATAAATGAACTATCCTTTTGGAATCGGTTTTTTTTTATTATTACATTTCATTTTGTGACACAGTTTCATAGGTTCTGGGATTCCCCCAAACGCTCCCTGTGCCCTCCCCACATGGTAGATTTCTCCACCTTGTTGCAATATCACAGTTCAAATCCAGTCACGATTCTTTCATTGCAGGCATATACCAAGCATAGAGTCCAGCATCTTATTGTACAGATACTAAAATGTGAGTTTTATGAAGCCATCTCCAGACTTGAGAATAGCATCACAGTGTAGTTGATGCGTAAAAAATAATAAGTGTTGGGGTGTTTGCCACAGTGGCTTAAGTTGTCCCATGGGACACCATATCAGAGTGCCTGGTTCAAGTCCTGACTACTCAGCTTCTAACTCAGCTTCCTGTTGAAGTTCCTCCTAGGAGACAGCGGAAGATGTTTCACATGCTTGGGTCCTTGTTACCTCTATGGGAGACCTGGAATGAGTTCCTTTCTCCTGGCTTGAGCCTCACCTGGCCGTGGTGGACTATTGCAGATATTTCAGGAAGATGAAAGATCTTTCTGTACTTGAAATAAAGTGAAAGTAAATAAACATTTAAAATCAATAAGTAATAAATATTTCTTGAATGATTTAATGAAATAGATAGAATATTTTAGGTCATCTGGGTTTTACTTTATTCTGCTTGTGAGATTCTTTATCTGTAAATGATACTAGTCTCCGAATATTCTTGCAACTCTTATCTTTTACAATGTCATGCCCTTTTGAAGACAGCATTAATATTTTTTAAAGATTTAGTTTTTATTGGAAAATCAAATAAATAAAGAGGAGAAGAGACAGAGAGGAAGATATTCCATTTGTTGATTGACTACTCAAGTGGTCACAACAGCTAGAGCTGTGGCAATCCGAAGCTAAGAGCCTGGAGCCTGTTCCGGTTCTCCCAAATGGGTGCAGGGTCCCAAGACTTTGGGCCATCCTCGACTGCTTTCCCAGGCCACAGCAAGGAGCTGGATGGGAAGCAGGACTGCTGGGATTAGATGGCACCCATATGGGATTCCCAGCACATGCAAGGCAAGGACTTAGGCTCTAGGCTACTGTTCTGGGCCCTAAAAACAGCATTAATATTTTTAAAAAAGATTTATTTTTATTGGAAAGATGAATATACAGAGAGGAATAGAGACAGAGAAAGATCTTCTGTCCGATGGTTCACTCCCCAAGTGACCGCAACGGCTGGAGCTGAGCCAGTCTGAAGCCAGGAACCAGGAGCTCTTCCTCCAGGTCTCCCACGCAGGTGCAGGGTTCCAAGGCTTCGAGTCATCCTCAACTGCTTTCCCAGGCCACAAGCAGAGAGCTGGATGGGAAGCGGGGTGGCTGGAATTAGAACCGGCAACCATATAGGATCCCAGTGTGTTCAGATGAGGACTTTAACCACTACACTATTGCGCCAGGCCCAACAGCATTAATATTTTTTTTAAATGTATTTATTTGAGAAGCAGAAAAATAGAGTTACACAGATACAGTGCTCTTCTGCTACAACTTCCCAAATGCTTACAGTAGCTGAACTGGGCCAGAGTCAAAGCCAGGCGCTGGTACTCAATCCAGCCAGTTGCTAGAACCCAACTGCAAAGCTGACACTGCTGTCTCCCAGGTCCCTTATTAGCAGGAAGTGGGAATCAGGAGCTGCAAAGTGTTATTCTGACATTCTAACTGGCATCCTAACTACTAAGACTAAACATCTGCTCCCCAAAATAACATTTAAGTCCATTTTGTCACTATGCTTTTAATGACTACTAAGTTTTATTTTGTTTTTAATCTTCAGGTCTCAAAGTTGAAGTGACCCACTGTGGACAGATGAAGCGCAAATATCGAGTTTGTAATGTGACCAGAAGGCCAGCCAGCCATCAAACGTATGTTAACCACATCTGAATTAGCACAATTACGATTTCAAGGCACCAGGATGTTTGCTCATAACACTAAAGGTTTAAGAAATGCTTTAAGGATTTTTGATGTAACTCTTCATACTTTCCCACAGGATAAGTTAAATGTACATTGATATTAATTTAGTGATGCAGTCATCATTACAGACCTTTAGAAACATTGTTTGTATGCTTGTATGCTGCAGGGTCTTTTAAGGCATGGAAGGCTGTCATGGGAAGATAAACATTGCTTTCTGGGTTTGTGTATCTTCCCCCATTTCTTCGTAGGTAACTGTCACTTGTGGCATTCATTACAAGAAGTACATTAACTCATTACTTAATGTAACTGTCTCAATAAGGTAGACTTATAGACACATATAATTTTTGCTCAATTTAAAGCACATAGACTTTAAAATGCCATAAATGGTCCCCATGGCATTATTGTTTTGTGGGACTACACTAGTTAAGAAAGCATGTTTTAAGTTATTAATGCAGTAAGTAGTTGAGATAAATTTGCCCACCTAAAAAGCCACAGGGTCTCTGCAAGTATGCTCACAGTATATGCCAAATATTCTGGCAGAGACTAAACATGCCTTTGATCTTCCTGTCTCCAAATTCACATGTATTTGCTCTTGATTGGGGATCAGAAACTTTGGATATCTGAAAATGTGATTCTAATAACTATGCTACAATCATTTTATAAAAAAGCTTCTTTTAAAAGATTCATTTGTTATTATTTTTATGGGAAAGGCATATTTATGGGGAGAAGAAGAGACAGAAATATCGTCCATCTGCTGGTTCACTTCCCAAATGGCTGCATTGGTCAGAGCTGAGCTGTCCTGAAGCCAGGATACAGGAGCCTCTTCTGAGTCCTCTATGCGGGTGCAGGGTCCCAAGGCTTTGGACCATCCTTCTCTGCTCTCCCAGACCACAAGCAGGGAGCTGGAAGGGAAGTGGAACAGCCAGAACACAAACTGGTGCCCATGTGGGATGATGGACTTGAGGTGGAACATTATATGCTAGCCCCACAAAAAGTTTCTTAAGCAAATAAAACTCTTCTGTGGATGACCCAAAATCCTTATTTTAATTTTAGAAAGATTTTATTTGTTTATGTGAGGCAGACAGATACAGTATGAGTTTGCATCATCAGGTTCTTGCCTGAAATGCGCACAATGAGCTGGAGTCAAAATTGGGAGTCAAGACCTCAATTTAGGTCTCCCATATGAATGACAAAGACCCAGTTACTTGAGCCATTCCCGTTGCCTCCCAAGATCTGCACTGGCAGGAAGCTGGAGACAGGAGCGGGACAACACCCTCAATCCCAGGCACTCCAGCATGGGACGTGGGCCTCTTATATGGTGTTTCAACCATTAGGCTAAATTATACTTGATCTTTTTTCAAAATTTTTTATTAAATTATTTTTCTCATCCTACCTCACTTCAATGAATGTGGAGAATTTTGGTGGAACCATTGTTCTGGTTAAACTTAAAATTATTTAAGTGAAAATGCGCAAAGAAATTTTGATTTTTGTTGTTAAGTGATCAAGGTAGAAATATGTTATGCCAAGGCTGACACTGTGGTATAGTGGGTTAATTCTCTGTCTGTGGCACCAGCATCTTATATGGGCACTGGTTCAAGTTCTAGTTCTAATCCAGTCCCCTGCTTAGGCGTGGGAAAGCAGCAGAGGTTGATTAATGTTCTTGGGCCCCTGTATCCATGTGGAAAACCCTACAGGAAGCTCCTGGCTGCTGGCTTTGCATCAGTTTTGGCCTTTGTGGCCACTTGGGGAGTGAACCAATGGATGGAAGACCTCTCTGTCCTCTCTGTGGCTCTGCCTTTCAAATAATAATAAGCTAAATTGTATAAAAAGGAAAATGTTGTGTCTTTATTGACTTATTTAGAAAAAGAACTTGAAGAAATTTCTGAAAAAGATACTCTCTCCTATAGTTTTCCTTTACAGCTAGAGAATGGTCAAGCTATGGAGTGTACAGTATCTCAATATTTTAAGCAGAAGTATAGTCTGCAGCTGAAATACCCCCATCTTCCCTGTCTCCAAGTGGGACAAGAGCAAAAACATACATACTTGCCACTTGAGGTAAGAGAAACGACATTTTTCTTTGCCCATCTACTGAATGAAGACTCATTTTAAGTAGTGTTCTAAACTAGCTGAGGAATTTAATATGAATTGATAAAATATTTTTGGCAGATCGCTATCTGAAAGTTTCTTTTTCTTGAAAATAAAGACGTAAGGTAGAGTTTAACCAAAACTTCCACTCTCAAAGTCATTCATACAAACAGCTTTCATTTTTCTTCTCGTCAGGTGTGCAATATAGTAGCAGGACAACGATGTATAAAGAAACTCACCGACAATCAGACCTCCACGATGATCAAAGCCACAGCCAGATCTGCTCCTGACAGACAGGAAGAAATCAGTAGACTGGTCAGTAAGGCATGGTCTAAACAAGCTTAGTGCACTTTAAGATTGGAAAAGCTAAAAAAGAGAACAGCAGCAGAAGAATAACAGAGTCCTGATGAGACACAGTCACTGTTTGGTTTTTATGTATTCAGGTTTTCCTGTTCTTTAGGTGAAGAGTAACAACATGGTAGGATGCCCTGACCCTTACCTTAAAGAATTTGGTATCGTTGTCCACAATGAAATGACAGAACTCACAGGCAGGGTGCTGCCAGCACCAATGCTGCAATACGGAGGCCGGGTAAGCTTTTTATCTCACTCTGCAAGCTTTTCCCACAACTAGCCAAATTGAGAGTACATCCAAGGTTTTCCCCATTTGCATCACACTGAATTTTCTCCTGTAGTTTGGCTTATTATTGTTTTTTTGGTTTTGGTTTTTGGTTTTGGTTTTGTCTTCTGGCCCATACCAAATAGAATTTTGTTTATTCCCTCATCAATACTAAAATGGCCTTAGATTGTAATGTCTTTTCTCTTTTCTTTTGTTTCTTGTTTTTGTTTTTGTTTTTGTTTTTTAAGAATAAAACAGTAGCCACACCCAACCAGGGTGTCTGGGACATGCGAGGAAAGCAGTTTTATGCTGGCATTGAAATTAAAGTTTGGGCAGTTGCTTGTTTTGCGCCTCAGAAACAATGTAGGGAAGATTTACTAAAGTGAGTATCTTCGTATTTTCAGCTTAGTAATACCCCTTCCAGATCTGAAATCCCCTCCCTTATGTGAATGTGCTGGGTATTCTGGCGCTGACATCCCTGACTCCCATAGTGATGTCATTTGGCTTTATGAAAAAGACCTTCCATCCTAGTGAATTACCAACTTGGGAGCTACATTAAGAATCTGACTCAACTTCCTTACATTTAGAGCAAAAACTTGTGACTGAAAAAACCAAAGTAATGCTGATTAGTTGATTCTTGAATTCTTAGTGAGGCTTCTTTTGGTATTAATTGTGTCTTTTTGGTGAAGATAAAGATTTGTTTCTTTTTAGTCATTATAAGACTGTTACATTAGGGAGCTTGTTTTCCTGAAGGATTACTGGCAAAGCCTATTGGTTTACCTCTTAAACTGATGCAGCTTTCTATAGAAAGGAAGTGAGTAAGATAAAAAAAAAAAAGTCAAGAAGAGGGAACTGGGATGAAAGACAGGTATTCAACCCAATATTGGCCAACACACATAAGAGAATATTCTGCTAAGTCTAAAATTTAAAAGTTCAGAATGAATTGTTTTTTAAGGTGATGATTTCTTTGACATTGTTATTGAACCAAATCTGTTACAAGTTTAAATAGAATGCTAAATGATTTAGTGGCAATTCATTTCTGTGTTGAATACAAGCTTACCCAGCTATTCTTGTGTTCAGATTCACCTAAATGCAAGTTACCTGACATTTTGACTCTGCTTTTCTTCAGTCCAAGATTACTGATTAGAATTTTTAAAAATATTTGATTAGAAGTGCTTTTCTACTTCCTAGGTGCCAACTGAGGCATCCTTATTTAAAAATTCAAAATGATAATCAGACTAATTTAATAATTCTGACTCTTCTCTGTTATCATTGCAGTGGTACAACTGCCAGTCTATTTTTTGCCAATCTGTGAATGATTTGTTGTTATTTTTGTTATCTGTTTGTTTCTAATTTTGGCTAAGAATTTGCAAAAATAAAAGAAACATTTTAGAGAAAATAATAATACAAAGAAAGAACATGGAAATGAAAAGCTTTGTGCCACTGGTTCTCTTTTAATAGGAGTTTCACAGATCAACTGCGGAAAATCTCTAAAGATGCAGGGATGCCCATCCAGGGTCAGCCATGTTTCTGCAAGTATGCACAGGGGGCGGACAGTGTGGAGCCCATGTTCAAGCACCTAAAAATGACATATGTGGGCCTACAGCTAATAGTGGTTATCTTGCCTGGAAAGACACCAGTATATGGTATGGAACCTTTCAAAAAAGTTTTTAATTATTTATTTGAAAGAGAGAGAGAAAAACATGGTTTCATCTGTTGGCTTATTCTCTGTATGATTACAGAGGCAGGAGTTGGTACAAGTCCTAGCCATGAGCCCAAAACTCTATGTGCCCCTTATGAGTGGCAGAGGCTCAAGTACTTGGGCCATCTTCTGTTGCTTTCTCAGGTGCATTAGCAGGGAGATAGATCTGAAACAAGAGCAGGTGAGACTTGAGCTAGCACTCTGGCATGGGATGCTAGCAGTGTAGGTGACAGCTTAGCTTATAGCACCAGGGTATGGAACATTCTAATGCTGAATGAAGAATAATTTCAAGTCAGACTGCGCTACATTCACATACAACTCCTTGCTCTCTGTGATTCTAAGCAATGGAGATTTAATTTTTGTTCCCACTGTGTGTCTGTTGAAAGTTGATCTGTAGCCTCTGTTCTGGAGTCATCTTGCTCCTCTCACTGCAGGATCCCAATTCTCCTTTCTTTCTGCTATTCCAGCCTTATGACCTTACCTGACCTGTGCAGGGAGAGCAGAGATGGGAGCAGGCTAGGCTGCACACCTACACACACCTCCACTTTGGGAGACTAGGGGAACTGGACAATCTGTTAAAAACAAAACAAAACACTTAAGGTTATCAGAGTGAAGCCAAGGGGGAGAGTCTGCCACTTCCAGTTCTGCTTAGTTTGTATCTATCCTAAGAATGATACAAAGTTCTTTTGCTATAATCTTAAGTGGAGGCTGTAGGAACTACAGAGTAGCAATTTCAATTTCTATTGGCTCTTTTGTTGCCTTCTGTTTCTCCCAATTGTGTTAATAGGGTGAAGGAGGCTAGAAGGAATGTAGAATTCAAAAGGTTGGTGTGTGTACTGAGAAGGAGGAGCTAGGCAACGCATTCCTTTTGCCAGACTTGTCCTGTGGGGATAAGGAACTTCAAAGGACTGAGCGAGTGGTGGCAGGCAGCACCAACGCTAAAGGAAGCAGGCTGACTTCAGGGCTACAGCAGGGGAGAAACAGGGAGGAAGGAGGGCTTATTCTCTTGCCGGGGTGCGGGGGGGGGGGGTGGGGGGTGGGGGGTGGGGGGGGTAGATGTTGCCCTGTAGGGCTAACTGATGAAAAGCTTAATACTGCAGAAGCATCTAACACAGTGTACAGCACAGTGTGTAGTTGCTGCTCCATAAATATTAACATGCAGGTTATTTCTTCTGCTTTAGTAATTAACAGACATATAAACATTTTCTATTTTTTTTTTTTTTAGCGGAAGTGAAACGTGTGGGAGATACCCTTCTTGGTATGGCCACCCAGTGTGTCCAGGTAAAGAATGTAGTGAAGACCTCACCCCAAACCCTTTCCAATCTTTGCCTGAAGATCAATGCTAAGCTCGGAGGGATTAACAATGTGCTTGTCCCTCATCAGAGGTAAGAGTTTGAATTCTTTTCCCACTTTCGTTTAAAATCTAATGTCCAGAATCTATGGTAAAGCACACACACCTTGAATACACATCCAGTTACTTTTCTTCTGTCTGTTTACACCCCTGCACCTACCTTCGAAGATGAGATTTGAAATTTTCCCAGCACTGTACCCACTCCCAGTAGAGTAGCCTCAAAGATAGCCACTGTGCTGACCTCTATTACCATAGGTTGGCATTCCTGTTTTTGAACTTCAAATAAATTATAATATGTGTTAAATAGCGTTCTGAGTCTGTCTTCTTTTGTTTAACATTATGTCTATGAGATTCATATATCTGATTGCACTTAGCAAGAGTTTCTTGTTTTCATTACTGTATTTTATTTTATGAGACAATGAAACCACATAATTTATTCTATTATTGCTGAATATTCTCATTCTACATTCTTGGTAGACTTACACACTCACTTTTGTGTAAAATTCTGAGAGTGCAATTGTTGAGTTATAATGAACACAGTTATGGATAATATACCTGGTTAGTATTCAGAGATACTGCCAGATAGTTGTCAAAGTGATTGTACCAATTTCCCTTTCCCCTGAAAATTCTAGCTCCATATCCTTACTTGCACTTGATAAACATGTCCTTTCAGCTTGAGCCATTTTCAGGGCAGGTGTTATGGTGCAGAGGATAAAGTTGCTGCTTGGGATGCCTGCATTCTATATTGGAGCGTCTGAAATCAAGCCCCATCTCCACTTCCAGTCTAGCTCCCTGTAGATGCTCTGGGGATGTGTCAGTTGATGTCTCAAGTACATGTCATCCACATAGAATACCTGTTTAGAATTCCTGGCTTCATTTGGGCTTCTAGAGAGAGCAACAATGGATAGAAATCTATCACTCTGCCCTTCAAATACATAAATAAAAATTTAAGAAATTGTAGCCATTTTGATTGGGGATGATGGTTTTTCATTGTGGCTTTAATTTGCATTCCCTTGATGATTAATGATGAGGAGCACAACTTCATATACCTATTGGTCATTTGAGCATGTTTTTATGTAATGGGCCTGTTTGGTCCTTTGCCTATTTTTGAGATTGGATTGTGAGTTATTGTTGTTGTTGTTTTTAAATTTGTGATAGTTCTTTGTTGCTCTTGGATATATTGATAGGACATGGATATTGCAAATCTCTTATGAATTGTTAGCATCTCTGGCCCTCATTTCCTCATCTGTTGAGATAATATCTGCCTTGACAACTATAAAATATTGGTTTTAATCCAGGTGTGCTGTTAATAATTCTATTAAATACCTAAATTCAGCACTATTACTTTCCTAAGTGTAAGTTTCTTTTCATATCTGTCTGGTTTCATTTCTGTAATATATTTACCCAATTTCTTTTTAAAATTTTTATTTCTTTATTTTATTTACTTGAGATGCAGGGAAACAGAGAGCTCTCATTCACTGGGTTGACTCCCCCAATGCCTACAATGGCTGGGGTTGGGCCACGCGGAAGCTAGGAGCCAAGAATTCAATTCAGGACTCTCAGGTGAATGACAGGGATACGACTTCTTGAACCGTTACCAAGTGCATATTAACAGGAGCTTGAATCAGGAGCTAGATCCAACATGGAGTGTCAGGCATCTTAACTGGTATTTTAACTGTAGGTCAAATGCCCACTCCCCATATATTTTTTGAGAGTTGAAGGTTATGTGGCTTAGGTACAATGAAGGAATAAATAAAATGTTATTTTTATGTAAAATTAAAAGTGAGAGTGCTTAAAAACTTAAAAATTTTTAGAGCTGTAATTATTGTTATACTTAAGGTAAAACTGAATGTCTTGTTCTTTTTCAAGAAAAATTTCTTGATTTATTTGAAAGTCAGTTACAGAGAGAGGAAGAAAGAGGTTATCACTCTCCAAATATCCACAACAGCTGAGGTAGAGCCAGGCTAGAGCCAGGCCCTTCTCCTGGTCTCCCACGTGGGAGCAGGGACTGAAGCACTTGGGCTTCCCCAGAAGCATTAGGAGGGAGTTGAATCAGAAGTGGAGCTGAGACTCAAACCAGTACCCTGGGATGCTGGCATCTCAGGTGGTACTATAACCTAGTACACCACAACACCGGCCATACTCTTTTTTTTTTTTTTTTTATGTATCTATGTATTTGAAAAGCAGAATGCAAGTGGTAGCTTTAACCTGCTGTACTACATTACTGGCCTCAGAAATGTCTCATATTTTGAATCTGGAAAGCCAAATTGATAATCATATCATTCTCAGATACTGTGAGGACTAAAACTATAAGCTGTTACTAATTTATGAAAATGTTCATGTATATAGAGGTCCACTCTCATTCACTGCTATGTGCCAGGCACTTGCTTTAAGGTGATAAAGAGAAATAAATGCAACATATTCCCTGCTGTTATAGAATGTCATTTTTAGCATCTGTCACATGAAATGCCTGCCAAATTATACTTTAAGAATTAATATTCATAGTCCCCAATCCTGCCTTTAAGAACCCAACGAAAGTCACATCTTTTTTATCCCGTTGGTTTTTTTTTTTTTTTGCCAAACTTTTACCAGAGAAGCTTACATACAGTTTTTCTCATTGATTACTTACATAGAGAAATCAGTGCAAAGTACACGAATTCATTCTTTCATTAAATGTTCAGTGAATGCCAGTTGTGGGCTAAGCAGTGTTCCAGTCGTGAAGAATACAGCAGGTACCAGTGAAATAAGATTCCTAACTCACAGAGCTTACATTCGTGTGTGTGTGTATGTGTCAGTGTGTCAGTGTTCAGACATTAAATAAAAGAAGTAAGTTAAGTACACTGCATAAGTGAAAAAGGTTGTGGTGAAAAATAAAGCCAAGAAGGAAATAGGTTTGATTAGGTCCCCGACATTCACATCTTAAAGAGGTGTGGGATTTTGCTCCTAAATCCATTACGTTTGCTACAATTCTGTTTCTGTTTTAGAGGTCTCAGGATTCCAAGAGAATCTGTTCTGGGGAAGTTTTACTTAGCTCTTAGAGATTGTGGAATTTATATTAGGTCTTCTTTTTGAATCTTCCCAGCCTGCTCAATAGGACAACTATGTTCCCCCTGCAATCAGTTCAGATTCTCGGAATGTGGTGGCATCAATTCTTAAGCTTAGTGTTCTCTCCTGAAGAACAAGTCTTATAATTTGTCATATATAAAATATTTATATGCACAATATAAATATATACATATACACATACATTATATAAATATACTCCTTACATATATTTACAAATATACTCTTTACATATACATATAAAATGTATTTTTTATTTGAAAAGCAGAGTTACAGAGTGGAATAGCTGCAAAAATCAGGGTTGGGCCAGTCTGAAGCCAGGAGCCAGGAGCTTCATCTGGGTCACTCACATGGGTTCAGGGGCCGTCTTCTACTGCTCTCCAAGGTGCATTAGCAGGGAGATGATCAGAAATGGAGCTGCTGGGATGCCAGTTCTGCCCTAGGCACAAGTCTTTCTTCTTTTTTAGACAATTACACCTGTGATGATCTCTGATGATATACTCTTGCTGAACCCAAACGTTTTCACCTGCCTGTCTGAGTGGCAATGTCTCTTTAAATCTGACAGGCCCTCCGTGTTCCAGCAGCCTGTCATCTTTCTGGGAGCAGATGTCACTCACCCTCCAGCTGGGGATGGGAAGAAGCCCTCCATTGCTGCTGTGGTGGGCAGTATGGATGGCCACCCGAGCCGGTACTGTGCTACTGTGCGGGTGCAGACATCCCGGCAGGAGATTGCCCAGGAGCTCCTCTACAGTCAGGAGGTAATCCAGGACCTTACCAACATGGTTCGAGAGCTACTCATCCAGTTCTACAAATCTACACGATTCAAGCCCACTCGGATCATCTATTATCGTGGAGGGGTGTCAGAGGGGCAGATGAAACAGGTACTCTCCCCTCAGTTTTGCCCTTTCAGGCTTCTGGGGTTTTTAAAAGAGCCTCCCCTCATTTGCCACTCTGGGGAGATAGGGGGTGAGTTCTCAATTAAATGCTATGCCATTTTATCTCCTAGGTAGCTTGGCCAGAACTAATAGCAATTCGAAAGGCGTGTATTAGTTTGGAAGAGGACTACCGACCAGGAATAACATACATTGTGGTGCAAAAGAGGCATCACACAAGGCTGTTTTGTGCAGATAAGGCGGAGAGGGTAAGAAGATGGGATATAAGCTTCCCAACTTGAGGCTGTGACTATGGAATGTGTTTATTTTTGTTTTGAATGAGCATTTGGATAATTTTCCCCTAAACACAGAAGTGCCTAAGAATAATTGAATAACTATCCTAGCTATCATTGAGTCCCAGTGGCTAATTCTGGAGGATGCAAGATTCAAGCCTCAATATTTCTCTTGTTGGACAGAAATGCTGGCTTCTAGCATAGTTTTTTGAGTGTGGAAGAGTAGAGAGCAGAACCAGCCAGAACATTACAGAGATCAAAGCAGCCAGCTGTGAAAGGGGACTTGATCTGTGTAGACTCTCTTGCCTCTTGCTACTTTTTGCTGCCCTAGTTCCCAAGTTTGTAAAAGGATCTAACTCTAAAGTGAGTTTATATCTGTGTGTGGAATTTGTAGAGTACAGACTTTGGGTGATTATTAACACATCTCTTAACCACAGATGAGTTACTTAACTTTTTCTAAGCCACTAAGCAGATAATTTGACCTGTATTCTTTTCAATTTTATGATGGCCCTAAATTAATATGCCTTTGGTAGAAACTGTACTTTGGACCAAGACCTAGAAACTCAGTGTGGGTGGTGGAAATGCAATGGCTTAAGCCATCATTACTGCCTCAAAGGTCTACATCATTAGGAGCCAGAGATAGCCATGAAATATAGACATTGTGATATAAGACATTTTAACCAACATGATAATTGCTAGGCTAAGCATTCAATCCAGCCAGTATTCTTTCTATTTAAAAAGTATGCGTATGTGTATGTGTGTGTTTAAGGATTTATTTACTTTACTTGAAAGTCAGAGTTGGGCCCAGTGCAATAGCGTTAAAGTCCTCGCCTTGCATGCGCCAGGATCCCATATGGGTACTGGTTCTAATCCCGGCGGCCCTGCTTCCCATCCAGCTCCCTGCCTGTGGCCTGGGAATGCAGTCGAGGACAGCCCAAAGCTTTGGTACCCTGCACCCGTGTGGAAGACCTAGAAGAAGCACCTGGCTCCTGGCTTCAGATTGGCTCAACACCAGCCGTTGCAACTGCTTGGGAAGTGAGTCATTGGATGGAAGATCTTCCTCTCTGTCTTTCCTCCACTCTGTATATCTGCCTTTCCAATAAAAATAAATAAATAAATAAAATTATATATATATATATATATATATATGAAAGTCAGAGTTACAGAGAGAGAGGGGAGGAATAGAAAGAGAGAGAACAAGGAAGAGAGATCTTCCATCCAATGGTTTAATCCCCGAATGGCTGCAATGGCCAGGGCTAGGCTGTTCTGAAACTGGGAGCCAGGAGCTTCTTCCAGATCTCCCACTTGTGTACAGGGACTAAGGCCTTGAGACATCCTCTACTTCTTTTCCAGGCCAGTGGAGAAGCCAGTACTTGAACTGGTGCCCAAATGGGATGCTGGCACCACAAGCAGAGAATTAGTCTGGTATACTACCATGCTGGCCCTAAAAAGCATGTATTTATTATTATTATTATTATTATTATTATTATTTGAAAGCAAGAAACACATCTTGCATATTCTGGTTCATTTCCTAAATGCCCAGAGCTATCAGGGCTGAGCCAGGCTGAAGACAGGAAACAGAAACTCCTTCCAGATTTCCTAAATGGGTGGTAAGGACCCAAGTATTTGAACTATCATCTACTGCTACCCTGGATGCACATTAACAGGAAGTTGGATTCTAAGCAGAGGTGGGACTCCCTCACAGGCATTCATATATAGGATGTGGCAGATCCATGGCCTAACTTTTTTTTGAGATTTATTTATTTTATTTAATTAATTAATTTATTTAAAAGGCAGAATCAGAGTTTTGAGAGAGATTTTCCATCTACTGCAACAGCCATAGCTGGACCAATCTGAAGCTAGTGCCAGGAGATTCTTTTGGATCTCCCACAGGAGCGCAGGAGCCCAAGCACTTGAACCATCCTTTGCTGCTTTTCTAGACCTTTGACAGGGAGATGGATCAAAAATGGAGTGGCTGAGACTAGAACTGGTACCCAATTGGGATACTGGCACTGCCATAGGCATAGCTCCCTTACGTTTGATCCTAATTCTGCTTTCCTGAGACCTCACTTCATTAAGTATCCATTATTTTTTTTTCAAAACCTTGTTCTATTGCCCCCTTCATTACTCAGATCTTCTTTAGTGCCTTCAATAAATTTTCCTTTGCCTACTTCTCCATGAGTCTCCTTGCTGTCTCATCTTGTCTTCCTTTCATGACTAAACTTGGAAAACAAGTATTCCACCTTCCATACTACCTTCTCACAACATACCTCAATTCTCTGCAGGCTAACTTCCGTGTCAGTGACTTCCCTGGAGTTGGTATCCGGCCACTGACCTCTTGGTAGCACCCAAGACAATAATGGCCCTCAATGGCCTCAGTGACAAGACTTTCCAGGTTACTGCCATTTTATATCCAGGCTTCCTTCAACCCTTCTTTCTCCATCTGCCCATTTAACACTGGTACTTATTTGCATTTCATATTTCTCCCTCTCCTGTGTTTCAACCTGCTTTTCGTCTCATTCATGTTTCTAGGCTAGCTTGTTTACTAAGTGTTTCCTAAATGTGTGTTTCTAACCCCAAACCACCTTATGCCTCTGATTACCTAATTGACAAATCTGCATGAATGTCCTACAGGCATTGGATCAGTCAAGATAGACTAAGCTGTGCTATAGTAACAACAATAAGAACCCAAATCTTAGTGGTTTACAAACATTTCTTGCTCACATTACACATGCATTGTTGCTCTGCTGTAGCTGTGACCCTGCTTTCCTGGCATTGGAACCTAGGTTGGCAGGGAGGCATCCATGTGGAACAGTGCCAGTCATTGTGGCAGAGGGGGAAAAAAAGATACACAGTAAGCCAAGTACTGCCTCCTAAAAATCCTGCCTAGAAGTAACATTTCAGGCCACATTGTATCCACCAACACATTGAGATGGCCCCTTCTAGGGTATTAATTGGGTGGAGAGCTATAATCCTCCCTGAGGGAGGGGCATGGGAACATTCAACCGTGATACCATCAACCACAGGCAATTCCAGCAAAACATGTCTAAACCTTCTACTTACTGTTTCATCCTCATCCAAACTCTAGTCTTCATTTTCCTTTCATTCTGGTGCTTGGCATCATTATATCTTTAGTCAGCCAAGTCTGAAACTTCAGAGTTATTCTAATATTCTTCTCTTTTCCTGTCCTCCATATCCGGGTGGCCAGCTAGTCCTCTGTGTTGTGTCCTGCTATCTCATCTCAGCTCTTCCTCTTGCTTATCTGCTGCTCTGGGCGCAGGGCTTCGTATGGGAGGAGACCCTGCAGGCTCCCTGCTTCTGCTCCTCCTTTACTAACACACCCTCCACCCTCCATGCTACAAGTGCTGCTGTTTAAAACAAAATCATCTTGTGCCATGGCACTGCTCAGATGTCTTCACACATTCCAGAGTGTGGCGGAGATACCAATTAAAAATGCCCAAACTCCATGTTGCAGTGCTTGGGTTCAATACTCGGCTCCAACCAAGTATTTCATTATAGACATTTGGGGGGTGAACCACCAGATGGGAGTTTTGTCTGTCTGCTTCCTTCCCTACTCTGTCTCTACAGTTTCATTTTTTTTTAAATATGCTAATATGGTTCTTTTCTGGTCAACCTTTCCCTTACTCAGCCATTAGCTGATATGTATTCAGCTCTTATGGTTTCACCTTTTCTAGAATTTCATGTGAGCACAAGAGTATTTCAAAATATTCATGGAAGATAGAATTGAGAGGCAAACTTAAGGATAGGAGTCTGGCATATGGTTAAAAATGCCATTTGGGATGCCGGTATCCCATCTTGGAATCCCTGGCTTAGAGTTCAGCTGTATTGTCAATCTCAGCTTCCTGACTTTCAAATAAATAAAAAAAATGTTTGTTTAGTGCAAAAAAAAATTTTTTTTTGAAATACATGTTTTTTTAGGTGCCATAATACATTTGCGAATCATCCAAATCTATTATCTTACTTATAATCTATATAAGTAGCTCATTTCATTTGTTTATTTATTTGAGAGAGAAAACTCGTATCCACTGATTCATTCCCCCCACCCCCCCAAGGTTAGGATTGAGCCAGGTCAAAGCCAGAAGCTAGAGACTCAATCTGAAGCTAGAGACTTCCATGTGAGTAAGGGAGACTCTGTACTTGAGCATCACTTGCTGCCTCCCACGGTGCGTGTCGACAGGGAGCTGGAATTGTAGGCATAGTCAGTACTCAAACCTCAGGCACTCCTACGGGGGCTACAGTAGTCCCAGCTGGTGGTTTAACCACTAGTCCAAATGCCCACCCCATTTGTTGCTTTTTATTTCTGAGTAGTCTGTCACAAGCCGTGGTTTGCTTATATATTCCTGAGTTTGGAAGTATTTGGAGTATTTTTTAGTTTTTATCGCACCACGCTTGTCCTATAAAATGTAGCTTGAGTATTTCCTTCCAACCACATTTTCCCAGTGCCTCCCTATCCCTTATCACGTTTCATTACAGTTAATTGTATATGGTTTTCATGAGGGCTGAAAGGCAAGTTCATTAGTTCTCTGTGTGCCTCTGGCTCTCATCTCCAACACTTACTGCAGAGCCAGCATATTGGTGTTCCAGAAAAAAGCATTGCAATGAGTGTGCCTGGCTTCCCTTCTCCCCAGGGTGTTGCATCTGTAGGCTCTCATCTAAAGAACCTGAGAGACTGCTTCTTTCCTTCTCTCCCTCCCTCCCTCCCTTCCTTCTTTCCATCCTTCCTTTTTTCCTTTTTTTTTTTTTAAAAAAAAGATTGTTTATTTGAAAGGCAGAGTTATGAAAGAGAGAGATTGATTTTCCATCCCAATGGTTCACTTCCCAAATGACTGCAAAGGTCAGAGCTGGGCCAATCCAAAGCCAGAAGCTTCCTCCTGCACTCACATGTGGGTTCAGGGACCCAAGACCTTAGACCATCTTCTGCTTCCTTTCCAGACACATTAGTGAGGAGCTAGATTGGAAGTGGAACAACCAGAACTCAAACTGGTACCCAAATAGGATGCCAGTGTCAGGCAAAGACTTAACCTGATACTCCGCAGTGCCGCCCCCCCCCCTTTTCTTTTCTTTATTTACTTGAAAAGTTACGGAGAGAAAGGGAGACAGATCTTCAATTTGTTGGCTCACTCCCCAAATGACTGTAACAATTCTAGGCCAACCTGAAACTCCATGTGGGAGTCCACCATGTGAGTGGCAGGAGCCCAATGTACTTAGAACATCTTCCACTGTTTCCAGGTGCTTGAGGTGGGAGCTGGATTGGAACTGGAGCTGCTTGGACTGCAACCTGTGCTCACATGGGATGCCAGCATTGCAGGCAGCAACTTAATCAATCGTGCCACAACACTGGCCTGTGAAGCTGGTTTCTTTCTTTCTTTTTTAAAGATTTATTTATTGTTACTACAAAGTCAGATATACAGAGAGGAGGGGAGACAGAGGAACATCTTCTGTCCAAAGATTCACTCCCCAAGTGACCGCAACAGCCAGAGCTAAGCCAATCCGTAGCCAGTAGCCAGGAGCTCTTCCAGGTCTCGCACACAGGTGCAGGGTCCCAAGGCTTTAGGCATCCTCAACTACTTTCCCAGGCTACAAGCAGGGAGCTGGATGAGAAGTGGGGCCACTGGGATTAGAACCAGTGCCCCTCTGGGTTCCTGGTGTATTCAAGGCAAGGACTTTAGCCACTAGGCCACAGCAGCTGGGCCGAAACTAGATTCTTAATTCCCATTTCAGGTGTTCTCTTCCTGATTGCACTTGCCAGAGGCTTATTTTACTGGCTCCTATAAAAGTGTAAAGTTTATTGAACCTGGTGAGCCAATTGAAAAATTCCTTCATTGCAACTTTTGTTTTGCTGTTTTTTTGTTTTTGTTTTTGTTTTTTTACTTCAAGTGAAGTATAAAACTGATTTTTTGGGGAAAGCTTATCCATATTAAATGTTCATTTTCCCCCGCTGCTTTTGTGAACCTACCACGGTGGCATCTGCAGTTACATGGCAATACTGCAGCTCCAAGCCACAGGTAAAAACTTACTCATCTGAATTTCCCTAAGAGAAACCTTGGGTATGTTTGTAGGAGAAAATACTTCAGCATGAGATGGCTGAGCTAAGGCAAAAATCACAGGGGATCCAGCATCATGAATTAAAACTAATATTTTTTTAAGGCTTTACTTAGGAGCAGTTTGTCTTTCTTTTATCCATTAACACATACTATTAAAAACTATCCTGAGCATCTTTGGGCACTCTGATGACTAACAACATTTGCTTTGGTAGGTGGGGAAAAGTGGCAACGTACCTGCAGGCACTACGGTGGATAGCACCATCACCCATCCATCCGAGTTCGACTTTTACCTCTGTAGTCATGCAGGAATTCAGGTGAGTTGGAAATGGGTCCAGATCTTTGACTTGATAGGGTGATGTTTGCAAATTCCGCAGTTAGCTTGAGTAGACTTGTTACTTGACATTGTCATTGACTTTGTTAATGCTTATATCCCAGAACTGCTATCTGTTGGTCTAGGTGTCTCCTTGTAGGTGTGCTAGGCAGACATACTTTTGCAGTTAAGGAGTAAGTTTTAACTCTCATCTCCTTTCGGGTAGCCAGAGTGCATGAGAAATGTGTTAGTGGTGCAACTCTTCCTCCAGGGAACCAGCCGTCCTTCACACTACCAAGTCTTGTGGGATGACAACTGCTTCACCGCAGATGAGCTCCAGCTGCTGACTTACCAGCTGTGTCACACCTACGTGAGGTGCACTCGCTCGGTCTCTATCCCAGCACCTGCGTATTATGCCCGGCTTGTAGCCTTTAGGGCCAGGTATCATCTGGTGGATAAAGATCATGACAGGTAAGTGTCTCAGGCTCAATAAAAATCTCTTTCTAATTTAGCAACGTGTTGCCTTTTTTATATAATTTTAAAAAAATATATTTACTTATTTTTATTGGCTAGACAGATTTACAGAGAGAAGGTGAGACAGAGAGAAAGATTTTCTGTTCATTGGTTCATTTCCCAAGTAGCTGCAACAGCCAAACCTGAGTCGATCTGAGGCCAGGAACCAGGAGCTTCCCTGGGTCTTCCATGCAGGTGTAGGGTCCCAAGACTTTGGCCATCCTCGACTGCATTCCCAGGCCACCAGCATGGAGCTAGATGGGAAGTGGAGCAGCTGAGGCACAAACTGGCTCCCACATGGGATCTCAGTGCATGCAAAACAAGGACTTTAGCCATTAGCCTACCATACCTTTCTTTTTTTTTTTTTTAAGTTGCTGTAGAAAAGTTTTTTGTTAAAGATATAAATTTCCTTTTAGAGTTTAATTGCAACAAACCAATGAAATTGCATTTGCCTTTGAGAGCTTATGATGCAACTTCTGCTCCAAGAGGTGCCTGGCTTGTTTATATTTGTATTGTCTCTCTAAAGATGTCTCATTTGGAGCTGCCTCTGGCTTGCCCATTGAGCCAGATGCCTTTCAGTTTGGTTCAGGTGCTGAGTAACCTCCAAAGGAGGCCAGTGCAGCCCCAACTCCAGTCATAGTGGTCTTAGGCCTGTAGACTGTGCTTCATGCAATGGGAGGCCTGGCCAGTTTGTGTCATTTCCATGGCAATCTGGAATGCACCACAATGCACTTGTGTGTGGGAGGGGGCTAGACCACCCTTAACCCCAAATGGGGATCTCAAGAGAATTGAACATTTTGACTGATGCCTGAGCTTCCTGCATTAATTTTCTTTTCCAAATGACCATCTGTGAAGTATGGACATTTCTGGGCTTTTCCCCAAGTCTGAATTCAACTAGCTGCTAAATTCTAGACATTCCACTGCAAGTCTATTTCTGTAAGGGTTGAAAATGCACTATTGTGGAAAAGCCCGGCTGAGAAGGTTTTATGCCTTCTTTGCAAGAACGCACCGTCACTTACCAACATGTCTGTTAGGTCGAGCCGACTGACTTGGTGCTGAGTGTTGTGCTAGATGCTGGAAGTACCAAGATGAGTCAGACCTGCATATATCCCAAGAGGATTTTGTGTTTCAGGTTGGGAGATAATGCAGGCAAGTATAGCATTGACAACTAACCCAGCATCAATACAGGAAGCAGTGCGATGGATGTTGGAGGAAAGGCTGCTGGAGAGGACTTCACAGCTAGATGCACAGACTTGGCTTTACAAAGAAAAGGATTTTCCAGGCAGAAACAACAATGGACACAAAGAAGAGAGCACATGACATGTTTGGACAATACCAAGTGTTCTTGGGCCAGAGCGTGTTAAAGGGGAACAGCAGGGTGGTTTTTTTTTGTTTGTTTGTTTGTTTGTTTTTGTTTTTGTTTTTAATCCAGGAGAAGTATGTTAGAGCAAGACTGTCTTTGTTAAATGTAAAAAGCTATGCCTGGGACCGGCCTTGTGGTCCAGGCTCCTGACTACAGCCTGGCCCAGGCCTGGCTGTTACCACCTTTTGGGGAGTAAACCAGTAGATGAAAGAGCTCTCCTATTTCTCTCCGTCTGTCTCTCAAGTGAATAAATAAATCTTTAAGGGGGGGGGGAATGAGCTATTCCTGCAATAGGTAGTTAATTGGCCATGTGGGGCACAGGAAAAAGTAAAAGATGATGAAGATTTAAGACTAGATGATAAGGATAGTAATAATCAGTTAAAGAAGAGAAGGCAAAGAAGCTGTGATGGTTTATGGTTCACTAAACCCCCTCTCCCTCCTTATTTTATAATAATAAAAGCTTGATTTTATTTATTTGAGATACAGAGTAATGTAGAGAGACAGACAGAGGCAGAGAGAGAGAGAAAGAGATCTTTCGCCTGCTGGCCCACTCTTCAAATGGCCAGGCCAAAGTCAGGAGCCTAGAACTCCAACCACGTCTCCCATGTGGCTTACCAGACCCCAGGTACCTGGGCCATCTTCAGTGCATTAGCAGTAAGCTGGAAGTGGAACAACTGGAATACCAATGGGCACTCCCTTATGGGATGCCACCCTTCCAGGTTATCATTGTTAATTTGAAAAAAATCAGCATTCATAGACATTTTTACTTGTCCAAGATCATGTAGCTAGCAAAGGGAAAGCAAGAAGTGATTGGTGGCACAGTGACATTTGCTGAGTGTGGGTTCTAGCACTGTGCTAGATAGACTCATTCATTCAACAAACAGTTACTAAAACTATGTTATGTGCTGGGAACTAGGAATAGAAAGGTGAGTAAGATGTATAAAGTTGCCCTTTCTTGGAATTTGTATTCAGTAGGGAAATAAGTCATTACCCAATTAATAATTTCAGTTGAATTGAGTGACAAGAAAGAAAAACACAGTATACTGTGAAAGCTTGTTCCAGATGCTTCTGCTCTTGAATTTGAACAGAAAATAGGTTTCTTTCTCTTCTTTTCATTTTTATGTATTTCTCTTTGTTTTATTTGAAAGGCACAGAGAGAACTCTTCCATCTGCTGATTCACTCCCCAAATAGCTCCACCTGGACAAAGGCTTAGGAGTTTAGAACTCCAACTGGGTCTCCCATGTGGTGAACAAAGATCCGAGTACTTGAACCATCATAAGCTGCTTCCTAGGGTGCATGTCAAGGGAAATTGCCTTTGAAGTGAAGAAGACGGGACTCAAATTGGGCACTCTGGTATAGGCTGCTGGGGGTCCCAAGCAACATCTTAACTGTTATAATAAATACTCCCAGAGTAGATTTCAATAGGGGAAATGGCATTTGGCTGAAGCTAACAGGTAAGCAGGAATTAACCCAGTATAGCTGGCAGCAGACATTCTTATGCAAGTACCAGGAAAGAGTGGAGCCCATGCAAACATAATACATTTCTTGGTTAAATGAACCAATGGCTAGAGAGACGTAACCATTGAAGGAGCCAAGGCTTGGATCTGATTTTCTTTTTAATCTGGCACTCTGTGTTATTTGAAATGTGTGAAGTATGAAGTGACCTTATCTTACATCAGGGTTCTTGTTTTCTTTACAGTGCAGAAGGCAGTCATGTGTCAGGACAGAGCAATGGCCGGGACCCTCAGGCCCTGGCTAAGGCCGTGCAGATCCACCATGACACCCAACATACCATGTATTTTGCTTGAGAGTCTCCAAAATAGTAATAATCATAATCATAATTCAAGACATCTGGCACCTCAAGCAGCCTCAAAATGTTTCAAATGCCTACCACCTCTTGAGAGAGCCAAGAGGACTTCAGGGGGTCTTCTCTAAGTGGCTCTGCTTTGTTGCACTGGATCTCGATTTTTTTTTGCAGCACTATCTGATGCATTGACAAATGGAGCCATTTTTTTAAAGGTCATAGATACACATAGATTCTCTTTTCTGATGCACTGGATGGAATTTTTACCTCAACATGCAAAGGCTGACAAGCCTGAACTTCCTAAAGGACTTTCCCAGAAAGGTTGCTGTGGAGGACGCATTCACCGTGTCTACAGAATGGTGTTCTCAGCATGCCCGCAACCCTCTCATCTCATAAGAGAAGATGATTCCTGTTTTCTGTTTCCATCAAGAAGCGTATATGTGGGAGAGAGAAACCAGTCGGCTTCAGTTTGGTGTTGCTATTTAATTGTGTTGGTTCACAGACTTTCTAGTGGAGATTTGCAACTGCCACTGTAAATGCCTTTAATGAGCATTCAATCTTGAGAGTATTTGACAAGTTTTTCTGAGTTTTTCTACTTCATTTGCTGGATCTCCACAGGCTTGTGCTGCTGCCAGTACAGGCCACAGGCAAACTGCACTATACTGGGCTTCAGATTCAAGCAGGCACTTACCTTATTTGGTTGACTTACGTGAATGTGTGACAGAAACCCATAGAAAATGTGTCACAGTGACAGATAACACTGCCATGGTCAAAATACTCATGTTTCTTCCTATCAGAAGTATCAATAATTAGTTATTTAAGAGTTTTCCAAGTTTTTAAAAGTGCCCATTCTATGCTGCTCTGTGGTTTGCTAGATTTAATGATTTTTAAACTTTTCTCATAGAGAATGAACTTTGGCAATAAACATCTTTTAAGGTCCCCCCTCTTCCATCCCCTGATGATGTAGTTTTCTAGATTAGATTTTGATAGTTTCTTTATTAGCTGTTTCTTAGATGTCACAAGCTGGCAATTTCTGAAGCTGGTCAGAAAAGACATATATTTCCATGTGTTTTTAAATAATTATTTTTACCTTTTTTATAGTCACAGTTAGTGCCCTGTCACTTCATTTTAAAATAAGCTAGAACCAGGAGGCTTCCTTATTTGCTATGCTCTGCCAGTCCTTAAGATACCTTGTGCAATGCTGCAACTTGCAAAATTATACCAGCATTTAGGCTTTGTTTTTGTTTTTGTTTTTGGTTTTGGTTTTGTTTTCACCCTGGGAACCAAGGTGATCCACATGAGTATTGCAGAGCAAAATTTTTTGCTTCTCCTTCTGACGCGAAGGCACTTGGTAGGTTTTCCTTCCTTTTTATTCAATTAAAACCATGTAGGAAATATTGGGTCTTTTCTTCCTAGATTTTGAATTCTGCTCACAAGCAGATGGGATTCCTTTCTCATCCAAACAAAGGGATGCTTGTCCAGTGCAAGCATCAGGAAAAGCATAGGGGGAAAACAGAGTCTGTACTTAGTGTAACTAACATTTTGTGAGTGGACAACAGCTACATAGATCCTTGGTAGTCCCAGCCAGTGTTTCCCAGCCCAAAAGTGACTGACTTGAAAACATCTTTCCTGGAACATCAGGAGTAAGAAATGGAAAAGGAGATACAAGGCCACAGAATCAGTCTGCTGCAGCTGAGGGAGGGGTGGGATGGGACAGACACAGTGTGGTTCTGGAGTGTGTGGGGAGAGTAGATGCCGAGGCTGATGGTGAATGGTGTTTGCTTAAACTCATTAGTCCAAATCTCTCAATGTAGCCTTTTCAGAATCCCAGCAATATAAAGCACCATTCTTCATCAGTCGTTGAGACAAGCTTGTCCATATGTTGAAGTTTACATTTCCACCCTTCCTGCTCAGAGGGAGTGCAGACACCTGCTGAGACTGGCCTCTGAGTTTTGTGGTGTCTATTGAGTCCTACAGCTCATGGTGATTGATGATGCCAACGTCCTTTGTCTCCAAAGGTAACGGGAACCTAGGCGAGGGTGACAAGATGGCAGGTGTTCATGTTGTAAGGTTTTCCTTTTTGTTTTTGCTTTTGCTTTTGTAAATACCTCACTTGGATCATACAAATCGGGACATGTTGGTAAGGGGCTGGCTGCTGCTTATTCACACTTGTTCAGGGAGAGCACAGCAAAAAGCCACATCAACATGGCCATCCTGGACCCAAGAAGAGGACAAAATGGAAGCTTTTGTAGAAGGAGGACTTGCTAAAATGAAGAACTCTCTGTGGCTGGTTGGCCAGCATGCACCTCCCCTGCATTTGAGTGCCTCAGGCTTGCTTGTGAAGATCGCACAAAAGAGTCACTTCTCCATCTCCAGGTGTGCATGGAATAGCAAGCAAGGCGGAGTAACAGGAGACCCCAAACTATTAGCCTGCATCTGGGCAATATGCCTGACCTTGAACCATGGTATTTGTTAAGATCTCAATCAGTTCTTGTACACTGGGGTAACTCAGTGTGCTGGTGGAGGAAAAGCCGGGAGACCTATATTTTATAGGAGAACAATATCATGAAGGGTGCAATGCTGTCATTTTGGACAACAGGACAGATATAAGTGGGGCTGTTGAAAGAATTTGATGAGGGGCGAATCTTTAATATTCTGTATAGAATCAGAGTTGCCGCAGTACTTGGGCCAGCAGGGCTGAAAGCACAGTTTTTTTTAATAGGACTTGATAATTCAAATAGGTAGCCCCTCGGGACAGACTGAATTGTTATGCATGTGTCAATCAACGGGTGGTGTGCATTCCCTAGATGTAGTGTTGGGCTGTTTGGTTTTCTAACAGGCAGCCTGGGTAGGCACTGTCACGTGGTGTGAAAGACTCAAACGTAGTGATGCTAATGAGTAGCTATTTCAGGCTAAGGATTTGTAAGGGACAGTAAGAGAGTGGTGAAGACTCCTGATGATCACATGATTTTATTGTTGTGAGCTGTTGAATCCTGAGCAGTTTATACAGAGAGCCAGCTAATGCAGCCAGTGTTCTGGGCTGGCAGACCACAATCATTCTTACTGTAAATTGTATCTGGTGATTTACAAGCAGCTGTATTCTACGTGGTCTGCATTTTAGGATCTGGTGCCCACCCTGTGTCACAGTATATCCTACCTGGCTCAGAGACCTCTGCTTCCCAAGGAGAAAAGATGATCTACTGGAAAAGAAAGCTCACCCTCTCCACCTGCCCTAGCCTCCCTCTGTGGATATAGAAGTGCTTTCTGGCTCAATAGTGGGATGATAGCTCTGCCTTCATTTTCAGAAAGTGGAGGTGAAAAAGCAGTGCCTCAACAACTGCTTTAGCTCCAAGAAAAATGTGTTCCCTATCAAATGAAAGGGAAGATCTTGTTATTGATGAACATTGTCTTGTCCCTTGCTATTGCCCTAATTCCTGCTCTTTCTGTGTCTAGTGGCTGATAATGTTTGCATTGGTTCCTTTGAACAATGGTGTGATTTCTGTTTTGATAATGTTAGATTTGTAATGTTTGAAATTTATTCAGTTTGGACTGAATGTATGTTTCTAGCAATACGAGGTACTTTCTAAGCTAAGGGAGGGGTTGGATTCCCATCTTGAGAAAAGACAATGATTCTTTAAATTTTGGAATTGTTTTTGGCTTGCAGGGATATTTTGTGTTTATGTGTCCAAAAATAAAATAAAAATAAGATAAATCAGCATTCTTGTGCCAAAACTTGTTGCTGTTCAATTGTCCAGTAAATGTGGAGCACAATATGCTAGCAATGCATATGGTTGCATTTAAAAATCAACTTTCTTGACTTCAGAAATTTGACAACAGTGGGAAAATTTTGTGTTCTGAAATTCTGGGTCTTTCTATTTTTATACATTGCTGTTTGGGAATTGTAGAAGATGTTTTCTGCAATATTTTATATATGAAGACTTTCAAATATTCACCAAGGTTCTGGGTACAGTCCCTAATAGGAAGATCTATTTAACTGATATTTTGAGACAAATTTCTAATCTCCAGAGGCAAAGTAGTCCAACTAACTTCTCCAGAGAAACTACCCAAAAACACCCAACCTAGGGCTATACAGTTAAATTTAAAAAAAAAAAAAAAGATTTTATTTTATTTGAAAGGTAGAGTTGTGGAGAGGGTGAGGCGGAAAGAGGAAGTCTTCCATCTACTGGTTCACTTCCTAAATGGCCACAGTGACCAGGGTTAAGCCAGGAGCCAGAGCTCCTGGTCTCCTACATAGTACAAGAATTCAAGCATTTGGGCCATTTTCCCCTACTTTGCCAGGCCATTAGTAGGGAGCTGGATTGGAAGTGGATCAGCTGTGACTCAAACCAATGCCCATATGGCAAGCCAGCCCTTTAGGCATGGCTTAACATGATATGTCACAGCACTGGGACCTCTAATATGTCTCTCTCTCTCTCTCAGATCGATGCATTTTTTTTATCAGAAAGTCAAATTTACAGAGAAGGAGACCCAGAAAGATCTTCCATCCACTGGTTCATGCCCCAAGTGGCTGCAATGACCAGAGCTGAGCTCTGAAGCCAGAAGCCAGGAGTCTCTTTTGTGTCTCCCACGTGGGTATGGGGTTCCAAGGCTTTGGGCCATCCTCTACTGCTTTCCGAGGCCACAAGCAAGAAGCTGGAAGGAAAATGGAGCAGTGGAGATACAAACCAGCACTGATATGGGATCCTGGTGCATGCCACTACGCTACCATGCTGGTCCCTCCCCCTCCCCCCACTTTTTTTTTTTAAGGTTTTAAAGGTTTTAACCAGCAAAAAATGTTGCTATTTCATGGTAGGATGGCTGCAGAGATTTACACAATATAGCCCTTATCCTCAGAGAACTTATGGTTTACCAACTCTACTAGAAGGGACCACCCTGCCACCTTTCTTAAGCATAACATCACCATTTCCACATTTATCAAACATTTATGATGAACTGGACACATGCCAAGGTCAGTCTTGTGCTAGGAGCATCAGAGAATTAAAATGTAAATCTTTGGGTCCTGTGTGGGATAACCTAGTGGCTCAAGTTCTTACCCTGCATGTGCCAGGATCCCAAATGGACAGCAGTTTGTATCCCGTCTGCTCCACTTTCCTTCCAGTTTCCTGCTTGTGGCCTTGGAAAAGCAGTAGATGACAACCCAAAGCTGTACCAGTGTGGGAGACCTGGAAGAGCCTTCTGGCTCCTGGCTCCTGGCTCCAGATCAGCTCATCTACAGCTATTGTGGCCGCTTTGTAAGTGAATCAGTGGATGGAAGATCTTTGTCTCTCCTTCGCTGTAAATCTTTCCAATAAAAAAAATAAATAAATAAAATGTAAGTTTTCAAAGAGTTCACTCTGAGGTGTCACAGGGTGGAGAAGACGTCAAGATTTATATTACTTGAAAACTTTCTCTGGCAGTATTTATGTTGACATCTTGAATCCCAGAAAACGGTGAAGTGACAGTGGTATCCCCTTTTAAAGTTGAAGAGTCAGCAACAAAGATGCTAAATGCCACAGAGTTACTGAATGTCAAAACTAGAATTTTAGTCAGGCCCTCTAATTTCATTACACCTGCTCTTCGGCCCAAAACAAAAGAATACTGTGAGGAACTTAGCAGAGGCTGTCAAGAAACACCTTATGGTGGCAGTGATTTGGGGAGGGTCTACCGCTGCAGACCATGAAGTACGACGGGAGTTTGTCAGGTAAACAAGGGAGAGATGTACTTCCAGTACTTTATAACAGCTACAGTCTTTGACCAAATGCTTTCTTCCACTTGTTTGGAAGACAGAATTCCTTTTGTAATGAGAAATTAATTATGTGACCCAAGTGGATCCAAAAGGCCTCAGTCCCTTCTGAATACCCATTACCTGTCTCATGTTCATGTCCACCCTTGAGTTGCTGGAGAATGGCTCATGTGCTCATTCACATGCTAGTTTGCTCACAGCAAAGCAGGAATATTTTGGATAGATTGAAGCTGAGGTCCACAGAAAGCAAGTTCAAATTTTACTGCAATTGCTAAGCAGAAGATGATAAGGCTTTAACTCTGGCAGCGATGCTGTAGTTGGAGGGAAAGAAAGAAAAGAACACAAGAGTTAGTCGGGCCTGGCGCGATAGTGTAGTGGTTAAAGTCCTTTCCTTGAATGTTCCGGGATCCCATATGGCCACCGGTTCTAATCCCAGCAGTTCCACTTCACATTTGGCTCACTGCTTGTGGCCTGGGAATGCAGCCGAGGAAAGCCCAAGGCTTTGCACTTACGTGAGAGACCAGGAAGGCCTGGCTCCTGGCTTCAGATTAGCTCAGCTTCAGCCATTGCGGCGACTTGGGGAGTGAACCATCGGTTGGAAGACTTTCCTCTCTGTCTCTTCTCCTTTCTATATATCTGCATTTCCAATTAAAAATATTTTTTTAATCTTTAAAAAAAAGAGTTAGTCATAAAATAGAAGTCAAACTCAGTGATAGAGTAGGTCTAAAGAGTGAGGGGAAGGAGGCAGAGTCATTAGATGCACCCTTAGTTTCTTAGTTTGGGAGCTTAGTAAGTTGCAGCACACTGAGAGAAAAAGAATAGGAGATGATTTGTGAGAAAGGAGTAAGGTGAGTGCTTCAGTTCTGAGTAAGTTGATTTTGAGGGCTTGTGCTGCAATAGGAAATTTGAAACCATAAGTATACTGGTGGGGATTAAAATCATTTAAGGGCCTAGTGGCTAAAGTCCTTCTTGCACATGCCAGGATACCTTATAGGCACCGGTTCATACCCCAGCTGCTCCACTTCCCATCCAGCTCCCTTCTTGTTGTCTGGGAAAGCAGTAGAGGACTGGCCAAAGCCTTGGGACCCTGCACCCCATAGGAGACCTGGAAGAAGCTCCTGGCTCTGACTGCTGTGGCCACTTGGGGAGTGAGCCAGCGGATGTAAGATCTTTCTCTTTGTATGCCATTCTCTAATTTGCCATTCCAATAAAAATAAATCTCAAAAAATTGTTTAAAAAAATCCTTTAAATATATGCCCAGAAAGATCAAGCAGAGGGATAACAAATAAAAAGCATGGGCTCTGAGGAAGCACCAATATTTCAAGAGTAGATAGAGGAAGTGGGCCTGGAAGTAAACTGTGGGCACTTCCCCATTGGGCTGCAGCTTTCACTAGTGATCATGAGAGCCATGGTTGGGGTTGGGATAGGTTGGTCAAGGCAGCAGTATGTGATAGCATATGTGTAGACTGGGTCTGGGGGCAGGGCAGGCTGAGTTCAGCTGCAACACCCATGGGTATGCATGAGAGCCAGATGTCATGTGGATGGGCTAGGCTAGGCTGCAGTATATGCTGACACATGCAAAAACCGGGACTAGGGGTGTGCTTGGTATAGGGAACACACCCTAACTGGCCATGGCATAGGGTGCAAAGGAGGCCGAGAGTGTGAGAATGCTGGGAGTGTGAGGGGGGAGGAGCACAAGGGCGCTGGGGGCGCTATGGAGGCCTAGAGTGTGAGGGAGACCTCGGAAGTGAGGACTCACAGGGTGAGAGGGCTACTGTGGGCGCTAGGAAGGCCAGAGTGTGAGGGAGGACTGAGATGTGAGAACTCGCAGAGGGCCGCAAGGGCCGCTGGGGGCGCGAGGGAGGCCTGGGATGCAAGGACTTACAGGGCGCAAGGGCTGCTGTGAGCACTAGGAAGGACGAGAGTGTGAAGGAGGACTGGGATGTGAGGATGCTGGGAGCGTGAGGAAGGAGGCGGGGGTGGGGGGGCACAAGGGCGCTGGGAGCGCTATGGAGGCCTGGAGTGATGGAAACCTGGGAAGTGAGGACTCAGAGGGCACCAGGGCCGCTGGGGGCGCTAGGAAGGCTTGGATGTAAGGACACAGGGCCGCAAGGGCAGCTGGGAAGGCCTGGATGAAAGGACGCGGGCCCGCAAGGGCCGCTGGGGGCGCGAGGACACCGGAGCGAGAGGGAGACCTGGAATGTGAGGGCGCGGGCACGAGGGAAGCCGTCTAGGTGAGCAGGAGCGCTTAGGAGTGCGCGAGGGCTTCCTACGGGCCTGTCATCCTGAGGCCACAACAGAGCGCCTGAGGAACTAGCAAGTAATTTCATGTGGTGTTGGGCATTTTGGCAGTGTGTGGAAGCCGGGCTTGAGGGGGCAGGGCAGCGACGTGGTGGTAGGCCCGGCGTTTTGTCCGCCATCTTCCTCTTGCTCAATGTGCCGTTCGCTTGTCCTCTCTGTCATCTCTGCCCATGGCACCCGGAACTCTGCCGGAAGGAGAGCTTTCCCGTCGCCAGGCCATCCCTTCCCTCCTGGGTTCTCTGCCCGGGATGTGCGAACCATGCTGTTTCGGTGAGGTGGCTGACTAATCGCGGGTCACAGCCATTGTCAGAGAAGGGACTGGGTCGACGCCATGGCACCCCGAACCCAACGGGTCTAGTCCGATCTAGACAGAGCCAGGGTTGAAATCCAGGGCCCTTGGGCCCTGAGTTCTTGCCTTTAATTTTTTTAATAAATAACATTAATTTTATTGGAAAATCAGATATACGGAGATGAGGAGAGAGAGAGGAAGATCGTCCATCTGGGCCTGAGGTCTTGCCTTTCAAACCTAGCACAGGGCCCGGCGTCGTAGAGTGGCTAAAGTCTTCGCCTTGAACGCCCTGGGATCCCAAATGGGTGCCAGTTCTAATCCCGGCAACTCCATTTCCCATTCAGCTCCCTGCTTGTGGCCTGGGAAAACAGTAGAGGACGGCCCA